ATTCATGAAAACGGTTAAATAAATTCTGAAAGCTCCATCTACAAGTAATTAAAAAAATTCTCAAAAATCCAACAATAAAGACTCAGACTAGCAAGACGCCATCAACTCCAAAAGTAAGATAAAAGACCCAAAGATTCTTCACACATAAGAAAACATTGAAAAAATATAGTCAAATTTATAGAAATGTTGGGGGAAAAAAATCATCAAATTACGAAATTTATCACTAAACGGAACAAGAATAAATTTGACAGTTGGTTCAAGAATAAATCCTCAAATTATGAAATGTTGGTTCAAGACAGTTGGTTCAAGAATAAATTACGCCATCAACGCCATTCGGATGACAGTTGGTTCAAGAATAAATTACGCCATCAACGCCATTCGGATGACAGTTGGTTCAAGACCCGTACCATATATAATTCAAAATACTACATATAAAACAAATTATCATAATATAAAGTGTATATATATAATATATTATTAATATATTAAATAAGAGTCCCATTTTTCAGCCAAATAAAATAATATATATAATCTTCACCTACCATCATATATTATAATATTAGTATTTCTAAACCCCTTAGTCTATAAAAGATGAAGTAGTTTTGCCTTATACATATTTTGACATATCTTAATTCTCTTTAATACAGTTTTGTTCATTGTTGCTTTTAGTTACTTTTTCTCACTAAAAATTAAAATTTATCATCCTTGTTTATCAAAATTCATTATTATTCATACTGACGAAACTAGATTAAAATTAGAGGGTGGATAAATTTTCTAAAAATTATAAAAATAATTTTCTATTTATAAAATAATGTAGTTTTTTTTTCTTTACAAAATAATAAATTACAACATTAATGTCTATATTATAACTATATATATTTGTTTTGTGAAATAATGTAAAGAAATATATATATATATTTTCTGTAAGATATAAGAAAAAATATATATAATATAAAAATAATATATAATATATTAATTTCTTTGAGAAAATATATATACTAATTTTGCAAAAATATCACACTCATAAATATTCATATATTTATTTTTAAAATAAAAAATAATACAACATGATATTTCATTAATACAACATGATATTTCATTAGAAAAGAAAAACCATTCAATACTTAATATATTATATATATAATAATAATAATAATAGTAAGGGGCGGAATGGGGCAAAGGGGTTGCAGCCAACTCTTGCCCTCAGTGACTCCACCCTTAATTGTTATTTTCTATCTTAAAAAAGTTCAATACAAAATTTACATTCAAGTAAGTTTATTGTTCATCTTTTATATATTTATTTGAAATTTTCTTATCTTTTTGGATTGGCATCGGTGTCTAACTCTCCTAATAACTCATCCATCTTCTCTTTAATTTGTAGATCAGCTCTGCCGCCTAGTTTTATTATATAATCTAAATAATATCTTTTATATTTTTTATATTTCCTTCGTCATCCAATTGTGTGCTCATTTGACCGGGCACGAATTTTAAGAAAAATATATAAAAATATAAATTTTTACTTTTTTTTTGGTAAAAAAAATGGTATTTTTTTTATTGGAAACGAGAATAAATTTGGATGACAACCAAAAAAGAAAAGCAAGAATAGATTTGAACGACGGAGAGAGTACAATTTTTCATAATATATAGAAAAAATTATTTCATTAAAAAAATTGCTAAACCTGTATTTTCTTTGATTTTTTTTATTTTTTTACTATACAATTTTACAATTTGTTCCAAACATATCATGTGAAATATTTATTTCATATAAAAGATTACATTAAACGGTTATTTCATTTAAAAATACCTAAAACCTCAAAACTAAGAGCACATACAATGACTCTTAATAATAAAAACCTCTATTGCCTAGTTGGCATCTATGTGTCCAATCCTTTTTCATCTATGTCGATTTAAAAATTAAAATCAGCCACAACGACTCTCTTTCTCTTTCTGATTTTCTTAAGAAATATTTCTCTTTCATCACTTCCAAATTTCACACAAAATATTCATTCTCGTGTAAACCCAAATCTCCCAAACATAAACATAAGGTGTTCAACAAGAACTGAGAGTCAATTGAATATGCAAAATGCCGAACATGTGAAAGAATTGAATCAATGTAAGAAATTACAATGTGAGGTGTGAAAACACAGCAATTTACGAAGAATCATTCACTCACTCACACTAAAAACACATTGGAATTTGTAGAGGAAAGGAGAGGGGATTTGTTGAGAGAAAATAAATCTGTTTCTAGAAACAGACACAGGCGTAGCCCTCATCACTAAATAAAAATTAGAACCTAAAAAAATGAGAAAATCCCCAAAATTTACCCGTCGGTCGCCGGAAAAGTGCAACAATGTCGACTGTGAAATGAGGAAAAGAGGAGGGAGAACAGTCATCGGCGATGGGGATGGAAGATGAGTTTGGGGAAGAAGAAACGAGCAACAAGGGTGAGAGGGAGGACAACGGAGAGAATGAGAGAGAAGAGACGACGTCGAGACGTGCTTCGCCTGCACGATGGTGCTATCGATTTTTGATCGAAATGATGGGGTCGAAAAGTAGGCCATTACGGATGAGATTTTTCGAAATTGAGAAAGACTGACATCGAAATACGAGATAAAGTCTTCTATTTAAGAGCCACAGTACGTGCTCTAAGGCACTAAAATAGATACCTGAACGAAACCACCCTCCAAATTCAATAGCATACATCAATTGAGGTTGCACTTATTATTATTATTATTATTATTATTATTACAAGTATAAATTATACAGTGAAATTTAAATAAAACACTCCATACACACCAACTTTCTTTTGGTTGCTATTAATGTACTCAATTATAAACTTTAACAGTCCCAAAATATAATACACAAGAAAGACAATAAATAATTTAGGATTTGATTGTGATTTGAAATTAATGTGAAATTAAATATATATTTGAATTTTTATTATTTTAATAATAAAAAATAATATATTTTTATTAAAAATTATATAAAATAAATATTAATTTTAATTTAAAATCACTAAAAATTAATATATTTATACAATATATTTATAAGTATAAACCGACAACACATTTATTTAACACAAATTTGTTTTAAATAAAAATATGTTATATCTACCTATTTTGTATGCTAAATGGAGTAAGCAAGCGAGTATGTTCTTTTATTAAAAAAATACATTATATCTCCAAAAAATTAATGTACTCCGTTCCATAGCTATATATCCGTTTGCTTTTTATACGTAGTTTTAGAAATATTAATATTATATTAGAATATAGTAAGAATAAAATAGAAATAACTAAAATAACTTTATTGGTATTTTGTGATATAAATGTAATGACATTTGTGTAATATGTTGTAAGTTGTAAGGGGATTTGTAATGTTAGGTAGATAGTACAATTACTAAAAAAAAAAAATGAAATGAATATTTTGTTATGGAACATACTAAAATGAAAAAATAGATAATTTGTTATGAGACGGAAGGAGTATTATACATATTCATTATTTTGACATTTTTTATGTGATATAAGAAACAGTATAGATAATATAAAAATAAAAAATACTTCCTCCGTCCCACCGGAATTGAACAATTTGATTAGAGACTCGGTATTTAAAGTAATGATGTTTAATTAATTAATAATAATAATGAGTTATGATATTATTTTTGTTGAGCGAAGAAAATCAATGTGTAAGGTTTTCGAGAATGGGTTTGTACTTTGGGCAATGGATTGGTTTATGATTCGATGGGCCTGTCAATTATATTAAGGTCTTAAATGGGTAGGCCCAACAACCAAGACGTTACTAAGAAATGGGCTTTTTCATGAGGACCTTCGACTAGATGATCGGTTGATACGGAGGTCGAACAAAGGAAAAAGAGACCGTAGGCGTTTAGGTCGGTTGGTGTGGAGGTCGGACAAAGGGAAATCGGGCGAAGGAAGATAAGGCGGTGGTGTTTAGGCCAGTCGATACGGAGGTCGGACAAGTGAAAGTCGGGCGAAGGAAGACGAGGCGATGGATGTTCAGGTTGGTTGGTTGAATGGGGCAGTTGAATAACAGTTTTAGAACGGTTGGAAGGAGTTACAACTAGTGAGTGGTTGTGGCACAACCCGATAACGACATTGGGACAGTTGACATGGGTTTTTAAATAAGCCTTTTCACGACCCAAAAAATACATATTTTCAATCGACATCAAATTCAATAAAATTTCTTTTTGGATCATCCATTTACTTTTCCAGTCTTTAGTGTTCTTTTCAATTTTTTTTTTTTTTTTTTTTTTTTTTTTTATGTATAGTTGTATAGAGATTTTCAATTTCAGACATCTTTTTAATCAAATTCGAAAATAATTTTCTTTTTCGGATTTTACTTTTAATTTATTGAAAAAAATCTGCATCAACAATTATATTATTTGTTATGTAATTAATAATATTTATAATTTTAAAGTAAATTTAATATACATGATTAAAAAAATTAAAATATATATTTAAATATTTAAAAATATATAGCAATATCATTTAGAGAATAAATTTTTCTATAAAAATAAAAAAATTTTGAGTGAATTAAATTGTTAAATATATTTTAATTGAATAATTTTTATCAAAAATAAAAATATATCAATTATTATTGGACAAACAAAAATAAAAATAGTGTCAATTATCAATTATTATTGGACAAACAAAAATAGAAATAGTGTCAATTACCATGACACGATGAAGTATGTGTGATATTTTAATTTTTTGAGAAAATGTATTCAAAATTTTTGTTAAAATAACAGTCTTAGAAATTGGAATAAATAAAAACATTCTTTTAGACGCATTTCCACATTCCTATAAAAACATTTTTTCTCACTGTCTAATCAAAACACAAAACCAAAATTCAAAACCAAACTCCAAAAAAATATACTGGGATTATTGTTAATTTTTTTTTTTTTTCAGTTTCTTTACAATTTTCTATAAAACTACAATATTTTATCTCACTCTAACTACTAAAAGAAAAAAGAAAAAAATCAAAACCAAAATATAGAAACAAACACACCCTGATCCCCAACATAAATAGAGAATGTTTTGTGATTCCAAATACAACCAGCAAAACAGGCAAATGAAGAAATGTTCCATCTTCAAATGATGTAAGTGAAGCCCTCATTCATTTACTTAAAATAGAAATGTCACCATATACACACATTACCTTTTTCAAGTACCCGAATCGACGGATCGAGCCGACAAATATATATATATATATATATATATATAAATATCCACATTTGCCACGGCGTGGGAGTCGAAAGGGCTGTTGCAGGAAGCAGGCGTCGCTGCAGAATGCATCATTACGATGCCCGGTAACCAGAAAGCCTTTCTACAAAAGCTTCCAAGCTGCAGCGCAAAGCGAAAGTCGAATCAGTAAATCGTTTAAAGTATAGTTTGTTAAGAGTTGAAAAAAATAATGAGACATGTAGAAAGATGATTCTGTAAGGTTGTGTTCTTTTGTGGGTCTAAATACAGAATTTTACTATTCAGATTTTATTTCCCTCCAAACATATCAAATCAAACAATTGCTTTTCTTTTTTTATATTATACTACAAATTCATTTTACATTCAAAACATCACATCAGTATATATTTATATCACATCACATAACTTTTTATTATTCATAAATCCAAACCCAAAACCTCAAATACCACAGACAAACACACCCTAAGAGATTCTCATTCTCCCAACATAAATGTCCTAAGGGCAATTCGAGGAACTTAAAAATGAACAACCTTAATGTTCTTATGGTGTTTTCGAATGTAAGGCACAACCTCGTAAATGAAATTCAAAGGTTGTGTTCTTCCAAGCAAAAAACAAACAACATCGTTCTCAAAAAATGTTACCCAATAAATACATATCATTCAATACAAATCAATAATTCAAACAAATAAAATAGCATTTCCTATAATACCATCACAATTCCTCGTACCTAACAACAAAAGCAGTGTTTGTTTGGGGGTCCGAATTTCAGGTTTGAGCATTGAATAGTAAAACTTTGAATTGAAATAGTTGTTTGATGTGATATAAATAAATGTCGTGATGTTTTGAATATAAAATTTGATGTCTTTTAAGAGAAAATTTTGGAGGAAAAGTAAAAATCCTCCAAAATCCCCAAATAAACACACCCAAAACTATAAATACTAAACAAACAAATTCAAATATTTTAGCGACCGATTGTATGTAGCAAAGTTTGGCCATAGTCCAAACAAGACTCCTCGAAAAACCCTCCTAACCGTACGTGAAAGATATCTTCAAACCTTAAGAAAAGGAACTACAACAGCCATGAATCGATAACAATAGCATTTTAAACGATTTTTTCAGTTTCAACCTCCGAACACATTTAATAGAGTAGTTTATTCGACACTTATATTCAAAAAAGCAGGCCGCAACATAGTTTCATCAAGCCACCACCATTACAGAGTTCCAATCAATTACACGTGCTGTTGAAATAAATTAGATTCGCTAACTAACATTGACTTTAACATAAACAACAATGGCCGACTACTTGAAAAAACTAATAGTAACACTACAACCAAGTCTTAGCATATCCAAAAACTAATTGTCATAATCACCAATGCAAAACCCTAAATACAAATTAACTTAGAAGTTAGAACAACAACACAAATCCAAGTAAATCCATAACAAAAAAAAAAAAAAAAAAAAAGAAGAAGAAAAAAACCCAACTCCAATTGATAAGAACAGCAAAGATTAGTAATCAAATCCAATGAAAGACACAAATTAGAGGACTAAACGAAATATCAATTAAGTAAATAGCAAGCACCAATTGATGATCATCCTAAAAAATCAATCGAATCGAACGAAGATTGGGGAAAACTTCTTACACGGAATATCTTTTCTAGGCGAAATTGGGGCTGAATTATGGCACCAAATGGCTCTCCCAATCATCGAGATGCTGGAAACTATCCCGACAACGTACAAAATCACCACCAGCACAAGTACCCAAGGCATCAATAAGAACCCTAGAAAAAAAGTAACCGAACCACATAGCATTAAAGCCAAGGAAATTCCGAGCAGCAGCGACGCGAACCCGGCCGGCGTAATCTGGTGAAACGGCGGTCCCTCCCGCCCCCGGCGATGCACCGCCACCGCGGCCGGGTCGGCGAAATCGAACGGCGGAGGCGGAGACCGCATAACTTTGAGAACCAAAGCGGAGACGTCGTAGAAAATTTTCGAATAGTAATCCGGCTGATTATTCAGCTGCCTTCGCATCATATTTCCAGAAACGGCTCCAAATCCGGCGGCGAAACTCTGATTAATGTGAAATTTCCGACGGTGGTGCGGGGATGGAATTGAGAGGATTTTGCAACAAAAAAATTCGGGAGAATCGACGGATAAACAGAGCACTATTTATCCGTGGGGAGATTTGGGAAGAATCTTGTTTCAATCTTAGGAGTAGAAATCAATCTGGGGAGGGAGAGGAAGAGGGAGAGGGGAAAATGGATAAAGTGAGAGGTAGAGGTGTTCGATCGTTTCTGCAGTTGTTCATTTTCATCACAGCCCTTTTGTGGGTTTATTTCAAGTTTGGATAAGAATCGAACATTACATAACATCAAGGGTCTGTTTGTTTGCTGGGTTGGTTATTTATTTATTTATTAACTATTTAAATTTCGATTCTTTAAAAATAATATTCATTCATTTTCAAAATAATATGGACATGTGAAACTGAAATTTATTAATTTTGGTCATAATATAAAAAAATTCATCAATTTTAATTTTATTATAAATAATTTCAATCAATTTTGGTCTCATTATAAATAATTAAAAACTAACGGAAATTAGACATAACGAGGTGATATGACAATTGACTTGGAAAGTACACGGCCATGTACAATTATACACAGCCATGTATATATCAGTGTACAATTTTTTACATGGTCATGTTGTTAAAATGGTGTACATTTCTGTTTTAGTGTAAAATTTTATTTTTTTGCTATATATTTTTTTAAAAAAATATCCAATTACACAACTATTTTTTAATTTTGTATATTATAGTAGTATTAAAAATTAATTTATTATTTAAATACAGTAATTGAATGTTTGTAAGAGAATGTTTTTGGCAAATAATAAAATTTTAGAGAAAATCTTCCAAAAGAACATACTTGATAAATATTTATATTTGAACTAAAATTGACACATTTTAATTATATTAGGATTTTTTTTTTCTCATTTCAACTATATTAATTATTCTAAATTTAAAAATATATATATATAACATAAAGGTACACTGTCGTGTAGAATTATACATGGTCGTGTAACAACATGGTCATGTATAATTATACACTGAAATATACATGACTATCTAACAACATGGTTGTATATAATTGTACATGGTCGTGTAACAACATAGCCATGTATAATTATTCACTGAAATATACATGGTCATGTAACAACATGACCGTGTAGTTCCAGGTCAACTGTCATGTCACTTTCGTTATGTCCACGTCAGCAATTTCCGTTAGTTTTTTAACGGTGAGACCAAATTGATTGAAATTGTTTATAATGGGACAAAAATTGATTGAAATTGTTTATATTGAAACTAAAATTGTTGAATTTATTTTTTTTTATATTGGGACCAAAATTAATTTTTTTCCCTAAAAATAATATGTATTATATTGATAGTGAGGTAAAAGTATTTTTAAAAGACTAAAATGTCTTTACTTTTATATAATTATTGTAAAAAAAATAAAAATAAATTTGTAAAAACGTGAAAGTTAGTTACTAAAAATAAAAATAAAACTTTTTTTTAAACATACAAAAATGACAAAATGAGATTATTGTTAAGGGATAGAAGGATTATTACCTCTGTTCGGACACAAACTTTAATAAATATAGTAGTATATTGGTTGATTATTAAAAAAAAAAAGAAAAAAAAAAGATATTTTAACTGTAAAAAGAAATTTGAATATTTTGAAAAGTATAAGTAAGTTAATGAAGTATAAAAAATTTTAATGAATTGAAATTTGTAAAAGTTATTTATTACTATTATAAATGAAAAATGCATATTTTTATAGACAAAGAAAATAAAATTTATAAATTTGGTGCATAAAAGGGATAAATATTTTTTTGGTACACTCCGATATATTTTTTTGGATTTTATGAATAAACATATACTCCCTTCATTTAAATACAATAGTATTGTTTACCATTTTTATCCGTCTCATAAGAATAGTTTCATTTTTATAAATAACTATATCAGTGTAAAACTACATTTCTTTTTTTATTATTATTACACAATTGTCACTATTTTTTACATTAATTCACTCACAAGGGAAAAAAAGTCTTTTACCCGTATTTTTTACCCACTACCAATATAATATCAATATTTCTTAAATTTCGTGTCAAATCTAACACAGACTATAGTTGTGGGACAGAGGGAGTATTTTTTATTATGATTTGAGTTATACATAGATCGTCTAATTCGATTGTTCATGTTTACTAGTTCTAGTGGTTGATCGGATACTTAAAATTGTATGTATTTAAACATATGAATCCTTAAATTTGTGTTTAAAATTGTTGTATTTCATTGGCTTTTTGTTTTATTTTATTTTTTTAAAATTGTAGTATATTAAATTTATGTTTATAGCTTATTTTTTCATACATTAATTTATTATTTATAATCAAATTAAATATCATATGTAATACATAACACATACAATTGCATGTAGGGGTGAGCATTCGGATTTTCGGTTTGGATTTGGTGATCCGAAATTTTTGAAAAAATCAATCCGAACCGAATCGAAATATCCGAAATCCGAAATCCGAAAATCCGTAATCCGAACTAAAAAATTAGAACCAAACCGAAAAATCCGAAATTCTAAATATTTTTATTATTATTATTATTTAATTTTTAAAATTTTTTATATTTTATTATTATTTTATAATATTAAATATATATATAATATATAAAAATTAAATATATTAAAATATAATTAATAAATTTGAGTGTTTTATATTAAAATATAATATTTTCTAATAAAATATTAAATATGTATAATAAAAAAATATATTAAAATGTTATATTTCGGATTTCGAATTGGTTCGGATTTTAAGTATACCGATCCGAAAATTCGAAATTTGTTAAAAATTCAATTCGATCCAATCCGAAAATCCGAAAAATCCGAACCAAATTTTAAATTTCCGTTTGATTCAAATTGGATTTTCGGATTTCGGATATTTTGGTCACCTCTAATTACATTCTAGTTATTATTTGTTATTTTCAATCAAGTACAAATAGGTTTATTTATAGGAATGTCATATTCGGTCATTAGTTGACCAATACTACACCAAATTAATTAGTAGTACAATTAGTGGTGGGTAATCTACCTTTCTGTTACAATGTACATAAGCATACAATACTCATTTTATTTTAATCGAAAGTATATTTTTATTATTTTTATTTGTCATATATAAAAGTATTTTTTTATTATAATAAAAATAAACACATATTAATATCAAAATATTTTTATTTTTTATATAATTTACAAATATATCATTATATATATGAAATATAAGAAACAAACGATATTAAATTTATTATGTACATTTTTATTAACTAATAAAATATAATTATTTCATAAGATATTTAAAAAAATCAAAAAATACATATTTTGGGACAGAGAGAGAGTAATAGATTTGATTTTAATTATTACTTGCACAAATTTTGAATTCAAAACGAAATATGAGTTTTTTTTCCTTTAATTTACGGTTTATTTTTTGAGTTTATTATTTTTTTATAAATATTTTAACTATACAATGTCTTATTTGTTCATTCAATAAGAAATACACAATTTTGGATTTTTTTTTATAAATTATATGCACACAATATATAATATATTCTATTAATTTATAAAAATAAACAATTTAATAAAAAAAATGTTGTTTTTCATAATATCAATATGTTTTTTCAAATTTAATATAAAAATACTTCAAAATGAAAAGCTAAACAAACACACTTTTAAGTTTGTTTGTTAAAAAATTTATTACTCCCTCCGTTCTAATACAATAGTCTTGTTTACTATTTTTATCTGTCCCAAAACAATAGTCTCATTTCCATAAATATTCATATCACCATAAAAAAATTATTCTTATTTTATTATTATTATTATTACACAAATGACACTATTTTTTTACACTAATACACTCACAAGGATAATAAAGTCTTTTTCTCGTACTTTTTTACCAACTATGAATATAATATCAATACTCCTTAAATCCGGCTCAAATAAGACTATAATTTTAAGACGAATGAAGTATTATTTTTTTATAAATATTAAATTATTACATAAAATACAAATTAAATACTTTTAAAATTACCTTTTGTATTATTAATGATTTTGTATCTCTGTAATGTACTGTAATAGTTTTAAAAGTCAGTTCATGCTTTTTTGGCGTTATGTGCTACATGAGATTATGTCTCACCTTATTGGTATAAAAATAATATTATCTCCGACTCACATACCGTATCTGTTATAATATAGAGACGGTATTTTAGAAGATATATAATTAGTAGATAATTAAGAATGTATTAGTGAAAATAATTATCTTATAATATAAATAATTATAAATTAAGATTAAGATAACTAATTAGTTTAATTAAAATTTAAAAAAAAAATTAAAAAGTTTAAAATGAGATTAAAGTGTGTAATTATTTTCCAAAAAAAAAATGACATGATATGTGGGACAGACAGAAACGACAACATGGACATGGTACGTGGGACGGAGGAAATAATAGATAGTTTTTCCATATATATATATATATATAAACTAATTTAACTCAAAAATCACATTCAAGTGAATTAACATTTATTCTCACTATTATTTTCACCAAAATATCAAAATTTAAAATATTAAAAAATATTTCTTCAAACTATTTTAAAAAAAAAACACATTTTTGTTTTGTGAGATAGTTTAAAAAATATTTTTTGTTATGTGAGTTATAAAAAATTATATAAATAATATAAAATAATAAAAATATATGTAATATATTATTCCCTCCGTCCTAAAAGTATAGTTTTATTGTGTTGGGTACGAGATTTAATAAATATTGATATTATATTGGTATTTGGTAAAAAGTAAGATAAATAATTTTTTTGCCCTTCTTGTGAGTATATTAGTGTAAAAAATAGTGACAATTGTGTTATAATAATAAAAAAGTAGGGATAGTTTTATAGTGATATGGTTATTTATGAAAATGAGACTATTGTTTTGAAACGGAACAAAAATAGTAAACAACACTATTGTATTGAGATCGATAGAGTAATTTTTTTTTGAAAGAACTTGTTAATATTTTTTCTTTAACAAAAGAAAAACACACACAATAGAAAAATGTAAATTATATATTAATTAAGAAATAATATTTTTCTAGTTTTTGAGAACATGCATTGTAATTATTACTTTAAATTTATTATTTTTTTTTGTCATTTACATCATTCAAATTATTTACTTTTAACATCCTTTATAAATTTCAATCTATTATATTTATTATTTTATAAAATTTATAGAGTTCATTAAATTTCAGAATCTGATTGTTAATTAATTAATTAATTATATTATAGTAATTGTTTGTTGGAAAAAGTAACATGCGAGTGATAGTTGTGTTTTTTTAGGATGTTTTTTTTTTTGGGTTTGGATTTTGAGTTGGGATTTGAATAGTAAAATTTTTGAATTTGAATAGTTATATGATTTGTGATATAAATAGGTGTTAATGTGATGTTTTAAATGTAAAATTGTTTTTTAGTATAATATAAAAAATGAAAAATAAGTGTTTGATTTAATGTTTTTGGGGGAAAACTTTTGGATGAATAGTAGGATTTTGAACAAATCCTACAAACGAACACATTATTAATAGAATTAATGAATTTTGTTACACTAAAAAATAATAATAATAATAATAATAATAATAATAATAATAATAATAAAGAAGACATTTTATCGAATGGTCTAATAAATATTTCATTCGTCAGTTAAAATTAGAATATTTGGGTCCACGGAGATTAAGAAAAATGAATATTTTTATTGAAAAAGTGATAAAATAAAAAGGTAGTTTATGGTATTTTTGAAAAGTAAATTATAAATTAAAAAAAATGAGGAGAGAGAAGGTAATAAACTCAATGATATTTATTGTAAATAAATATTGAATGTATAATAGTCTAATATTAATTTGTTAACTTTGCCAAAATTAGTAATTGAGTAAATTTAACGGATAAACTAAAAAAAAAATAAGAGTAAATTTGACGGACGAAAAAAATATTAAATAGTATGTAGATATAAAAAAAATAAAGATATTTTTAAAATTGTAAGGATTAAAAATTGATAAAGAATTATGTGGGTTGTAAGAATAAAAAGCTAATAAGAAATTGTAGGTTGAAAATAAGAATGTAGTATTGTTATGTAAAATTTAAGAAATATCTTATTAATATATGTTAAAAAATTCACTTAGCAAGTTACAAAATTTTATTTTTTATTTTTATTTATAAATGTCCTAAACAACAAAGAATATTTTTAAATTCAATTGTTTTGGTTTGCAAAGACTATTTATGATATCGATTTAAACAAATATAAACGTGAGAATATTTGTAATGTCTAATAAATTTATATACATTAGAAAAATAGATATTTTGTATTTAAATATAATTGCGAGAATATTTGTAACGTCTAATAAATTTATACACATTAGAAAAATAGATACTTTATATTTAAATAAAAATGATACTATATATACTTAACAAGTGAATGAAAAGAATGATATATTTAATCGAATATTTAATTTTTTGTCTTTTTGAAAATTAATTAGAAATTTTTTAAAAAATATTAAGTAAGTGAACATATGCAAAATAGTACTAATAAATGTTCAGAAGAATAATTTTGTACACTTAATATTTTTTTAATAAAATAATTTTTCATAAATATTATTTATTAAAATACAATATATATTAAGGGTGTGTTTGTTTGGGAGATTGGAATGGATTTATACTATTCATCCATTTTTTTTTTCTCCCAAAAATATCAAATCAAACACCTATTTTTTATTTTTTATATTATACTAAAAATCAATTTTACATTCAAAACATCACATCAACACTTATTTATATCACATCATATAACTATTCAAATTCAAAATTTTTACTATTCAAATCCCAACTCAAAATCCAAACTTCCAAACAAACACACCCTAATATAATATATATACTTTATGAAAAAAAATATATAATAATTTTTTTTTATATCTAATACTCCTCCCTCCCTTATTAAAAGAAGCTTTGGAGTTTTATATAGTAGATTAATAAACTCTCATTTCCATTGGAAGCGTGAAGTTTGTTTTTTGTACGTAAATTTTTAAATATTAATATTATATTGGATTATAGTGAAAAAAACAAAAATATCTATATTAGTATGGTGTAATATAAAAGTAATAATATTTGTGTAATATATTGTAAGTTGAAGGGTATTTATTATGTTAAATATATAGTACAATTACTTAAATTAGGAAATGTTAACCTTGTTTTGAAACGGACGAAAATGGAAAATGGTAACCTTTTTCAATGAAACAGAGGGAATATTATATTAATTAGTGGAAGTGTGTAATGATATGTTTGTAATTTATATAAAAATTAAATTTATTTTAATAGTAATGTATAATTATTTTTTTTAAAATGGAAAAAAAATAGTTTGAATTGAGATTGATAAAATATAAAAATATATGTATCTAAAATACAAAATGGACAATCCCAATATTTCGACAATAATTTGAAAGAATAGAATAATTTGTTTTTTTTTATAAATGAATAAGACGAGAAGTTATTTTTTTGGTAAATGAATCAGACTAGAAGTTAGTCGATGTTTCTTCTTTCCATCGTCACATGTTTTACAGCACAGTATCATCATTCATCATCATCTCAATACTATAAAACAAAACTTGATATCTACGTGGACGATACCGACTCGAGGTTCAGTGCGGTTCAGGCAAAATTTTAATATTATTATATTCGAAAGAGTAATAAATGGTTTGCTTTGTTGGGTTGGGGGGGTGGGTTGGGGTGGGGGTTACGTGTCAACTGCTGGTACTCCTCGGTTGCTGGCGTGGCACGCAATCAATGTAGCCAAGTAATAATGTGGGGTCCTCTTCGTAATTTTGAACGGCTGTAGGCGCTGCCAGCGATTGATAAAAGTCGGATTATTCGTGTTCGTTTCCGGAGCTTGTTATTATCATTATTTTTTTTTCATTTTTTTTTTCTGTTCTTCCGTTTCGCTCTCGAGAACTTTTACGGAAAACTGATTGCGGAAAATCGGCGAGGAGTTAGTTCGGTGTTCTTCGATCTCTGCAGATTTGGTTCGCAGTGGTTTTCGCGTTGTGGAGATTGTAGATATGGAGAATATGGATTGAATCTGAAACCCTACCCGATAAAAAATCACGAAAAATGGGGGAGGTAAAAGGAAACCTCGAGTGGTGTTGAAAGGGGGATGAGAAGTTGAGTTTCGAGGAAAGCTGCTTTGTATCGGAACTGGATCGAATTGTAGGAGATATTCCGACGAAACTCCATTTTTGCAGATTCTGTAAGTCGAGCACAGCTTTTTTACTTTATTATTATATTATGTGGAGTATATTTTTTTATGATTAATGCATTCCGCCACTGTGATTGTTTTGTTCTTCGTGATTTTTTTTTTTTTGTTTTTTGTAGATTTACTTAATGTATTTGAGATTTAAGAATAGGAGAGCGAGCGCTTCTATGGCGGAAAACATCTAAAAAGTTGTGCTGTTTCATCTTTTGCCTTTTTGTGGAGTCATATAATCGCATTGAAGATTGTTGTTGATGAATTAGGGCTCGTAGCTCCATATGGCATTATTTAGTCGGCGGCGGGTATAGATATGGCAGTGTAAGGCGGTTGGTTATTGTCAATATCTGTATTCATCATTATATGCTAAAAATTATATAGAATAGTTTGTATAGATCCTTAAGGAATTGCTTGGGGCTGTTTGTGATAGAAACTCTATTATTTCTTTCGTATAATAAAATTATAAAATGATACTCTTCTCTCTCTAGTTTATCTCACTCATATAATAAAATTATAAAATGATACTCTTCTCTCTCTAGTTTATCTCACTCATATATGATATATGCCACTGTTTGTGTGTTGGTTTGACTGGAGGAATAAATAAATGGCTGATACTTTATTTCTTGAATAAGACATGGCCCCACTTGAATTCCTTCAGCTATATCATGTTTCATATTTGTCTTGTAATTTGGTTAGGGGTGATTACATGATTCAAGTTGCAAGTGTTTCAATTTTAGGTTCATCTGAGAAGTGTGGGACAGGCAATTAATTTTATATGAACTAGTTGATAATGGTAGAATGATTCTTCTTTTTCTTTCCTGTTTTCGCATAATCGACCTTGTTTGGTTTTGTTTTAGAAGCATATATAAGTTGGTAGTAGTATACCACTATACCGTGCCGCCATATTTCCGGTTTGATGGAGTCCTTTAAGGTGATTGAAATCAAGAGAATTGCAGCTTATGAGCTTAGTGGGTACTGTTTAAAAATGTATTTTGCATTCACGGCCATGCATATGAGAGTTACCGCTCCATCTCGGGCTTGAGTGTTCCGATGATTTAAGATTGAACCTTCATTGTATGTGGCTGCTAAACTATTTATACACTAGAAACTCATGAATCATAGGATCCATTATGTGTGTCAATATCTAAGGTTGTCGATAGTGTAGCATGATATTTGGATTTGATCGAGTACCAAGGAGACGTGATAAGTATTGGCCGAAAATACCATATGTGAAATTAGATAAGTTATGGTTTTTGATGATGACTATTTATAGAATTCTCCACTTTCAATATTTGATAATAAACAATTCCAAGACACCATAGTAGCTCACTTAATATTTTTTTGGTCCTTTAAAGGGGAATGATTATTTTAACCTTACTTCTTCAATCATGCTTAAAATACCTCCGATACTTTTTGACTATGGGATTATGATATGAACTGTTGTCGTCTCCTTATTTTGACAAGTGTCGGAAAAAATTAGAATATATGGCACTGTCGGAGGCAAGTGGATGAACTGCAAGTGGGGCTTAAAAAGGGTTAAAAAAGCAGTCAATCTAAATCAAAGTTTATATAGACAGCAATATATAGCAGAATGTTACTTTACGTTTAGTTTCTAAATCATGGTAATATTACTAGGATTCTAAGTACTTTAATAGGAATTTTGTTCTTTCCAACTCGGTGTTCTCTTTCGAATATGGGAGTTCATACTCTTAGGCTGTATTTCGTTTGAAGGATATGATTATAATATATAACATTATTTTATTAGAGTATATAATCATGTGATTTATCAATATCATGTTTACTTTATTTAATTAAGTATATGATAATTATAATTTTTAGTACAAATATTATTTAGATAAATTAATAGCACCCATCTAAACAGGATTAATTATTCTTAATTAGTGTATTATTATATCGGGTTTTAATCAATCCCGAATTATAAAATATTAAATAAGTAATTAGGTTGAATAAAATAATTTTATTCATCACAATCACTCATCCTTAAAATAGGAAATTAATCATCACATACAGAGACATGGGTTTTGTTGTGTAGTTAGATGATCTCATCTCTTGAATAATATACAAGTGTTGGGTTATATATATAGTATTAAGACTATGGTATAACGTCTTTCTAGTCACACATTTCCTTTTTCATATTTATTTATAGATATATTAAGTAGAACCTTCTTAGGCCTTCTCCCACGTGTAGTGGATCCCAAAAATGGGGAGGCTCCAACCCACCCCAACAGTTATAGAGTAACATTGTACTTCTATTCCAATTTTGGAGTGGAGTTTTTGTGTAATTTTATATTTTTGTAGAGTATTGTGTAATTTTATATTTTTAGAAGATGATATATAATTTTATATTTTTAAAAAGTGATGCAATTTTACTTTTTAAAAAAATAATGTATAATTTTATTTTTTAAAAGTGATATATAATTTTTATTTTTTTAAAAGTGATATATACTTTTACTTTTTACTTTTTGAAAAGCCATATATAATTTTACTTTTTTAAAAATAATGTGTAATTTTATTTTTTTTAAAATATAAAATATATATGTATGGATTATAATGTAAAAATAAATTAAAATTGGGGTGTAATTTATAAATATAAAAAATTACAAAGTAATATAAAAGAATATATAGAAAATATACTTTTTATAATAAAAATTGAAGTTTACGGTTAGAATAAAATTATTGGAGATCAACTGCATTACTTTAGTTACTTAAAAAATAAAGTGGAGGGTTGAATTGAAAAATGAACTGAAGGGTTGGAGATGACCTTAAACAAAAGTAAATAATCTTTACACTTGTCATAAGATGTCTTTATAAACTACCAACAACTCATTGTGTTTGAATGCTTTCAAATTCCACATAATCCACCTAAAACATTTACAAAAATAACATCTTACTATTATTATTATTATTATTATTATTATTATTATTAATTTAATTACTATTGATCAGCATTCTATTAGAATTGTCGAGATAAGTTGATTTGGTGGATTTTGGCGGGTTGATTTACAAAATTGACAGGTTAAAAATTGTTTAGTTCAACCTTGTTTTAAGAAGGGGTGGGGTGGGCCAATCCAAAGGCTCAATTTATTTTGACAACTTTTCATACTTTTGAAATAGTTGTTTTACTTTTAAGAAATTTTACATACTTTACCGAGTTTTAAATCATATTCAAAGCCTAAGCACAAAATTTCGAACTATACTTGACAATAACTATCAAGAGAGATAACCGGGATGAGTCAGCCCACATTGTACAATTTAACAAATCTTGACACGGCGAGCCTCGGTGGGGCCAGGTTAAATTATTTTTTTCAATCCTTATTTACGGTAGAATGTAGCTTGCTCAATCCGACAAGCACAACCATTTTGATTCCTCTATATTTTATATTTCATATTTATACTTAAAAAACTCTATTGCCTACTCCTTAAATACTTATATCTATTAATTTTATTATTATTATTATTTTTTTTTATTGTTTAAATTATGTACACAATGTTATAAGTTGGGGTTGGTACTATACTTACATTTTTAATTTTATTATTTTCCCAAATTTTTAAAGGTGAAACCCACTTGTAATATTTTATTTATGTTTTTCTTTTTCTTCTAAATAAACAAATATATTTATATATATTTAATTTTTTAAAAACTAATTTATATGTTAATTATGTATAAATGTAGTTACTATTTATTTATTTATTTGTATTATATAAAATTTTATTTTTTACATTCACATTGAATATACTTTATTGAAGTACATATTTTAAAATATTCAAAAAATATTTGAAATTTATTTTAATTAAATATATACTACATCATAACTCAACTTTCAACTACATAACATTTCATTACTTGACAAAAAAACCAAACTTCTAACTACACCTCCTCACTTGCAAGCAAATTTAGTAATACCTTAAATACACATAATTGTATGGTCACAAAGCATTTCTTTATTATTCTTATTCTTATTCTACTAACATGTTATCTCTTGAATTGTTCTAATTTAAGTGTTCTATTTTACAAGCAAGATCAACAAGAGAAGAGTGAATAGACAATTGAATTTCGTATATGTAAACAACAATAAAGTCATTACAACCAATCGTTGTGACCTTTACCTTTTGTGGAGGGATGATCTTTAATCATGACAACTTGCAAGGTACTCTAAAGATAAAATACAAAATGGTTCTAGACTACTCAAAATTGTTATGCTCATTTCATTATAATCCACAATTTTCAATATTACTGGAACGTCTTTTGTAGCCGCAACCTTCTCAGCCATAGCCATGGTGAGCAAGACCTGAAAAGTAAATTAGCTTGTGAATATTGGTAAATTCGAAAAAGGTGAGAACAATAATCAAAATTCGAAAATAATTGCCCTATGAGATACTACGGTGAGTCCAATAGTGGAGGCAAAAAAGTTTTATGTTTTTTGGGAAACAATGTCACATACTCGTGTGGAGAGACGTGTGAGTTTCACTTGTGCAATTGTAGATGACGGGATTCTAGTAGATTGTTAGCCTCCAAACATCTAAACGAGAAAATTATAATACCAATGATGTTAGTCCTAACAAAATCCTAGGAATTATGCACCAACACCATGTAGAGGTAGAGCTTCCTAAATATATCTATCCAATCGGTCCTTTATGTTATATTTCAAAATGGTGATAGCTAATTGTTCTAGTGAAAGAAGTACGCATTTTGCCGAATTAATAATGCACTGATGTATGGAATTTAATGGATGTAACTAGACAAAAGATCATGTACATCTTAGAATTGTTGTTCTTGTATATATTCTATATCTTTGTATATTAGGCTCAACTTAGCTCAAGCTCAAGCTAAATGGCTTTTTAAGATATAAGCTCAAGTTCTTCTTGAAATAATATTTGGTTAGATCTTTCTTTTGAAGATAATTTAATATTATTTTTAAATAATTACTACTTTTAGTAATAATTATTTTTAACATGAGTTGCTAGGTGGTGTGTTTTTTTTTTTTTAAGTAAATATTTTAAAGAATTTAGGTTTATTTGTGATCTACTTACGATTGAAACTTGTAAAGTAACATTGCAATATTTTTGGTTTTAATATTGATCATCTTTTTTAATTGCTATACATAAAAACTTGAGTTGACTTATGAAAGCTAAATATTTTTTTTGTTGTAGTTCAAAATTAGTTGCGAGTAGCTGAAATTGTCTATAGTTTTAGGAATACACTATAGTGTAGGAATTAGGAAAATTGCATTTTCTTGTTATGTTATTTTGTAATGTTGTATTTTTTGTTTTGTAAGTTGAAATAGTTTTCTTTTTGGTCCTATCATTCAAATATCATCATATGAGGCTCATGGAGTTTACATGACTAAAATTGCAATTATAGCAGCTTAGAAGACCAAATTATGACAACTAAAATTGAAGAATAGCAACTTTTGAAATAAAATTGATAATTAGGCACACATATGGGACAAAAAGTGTAATTTTCCGCAATATAGTCCATGCTTTTACCATGATACTTAGCTTTGCTCAAAAACTCTTATCGTGTGCTTAATGATTGTTATGGGCCTTTTTTCTTTATATATTTTTATTGACTATATGAAGTTTATTTATATTTTATTCTTAAAAATTCTATTGTTTGTTGCGTATGGTGTTTGACATATTAAGAGTACATATTTGTAAAATTAGATAATATGATATTATGCCTTATATTTAAGTTGCTTACAATTTAGCCGTTTTCTTTTCTTTTCTTTCTTTTTTTTTTAATTAAATGTATGGTAAAAGAATTTGTTATATTTGATGGGAACGTGCGCAAGTCACTTAGATTAAATTTATCATGCACTAGGAGTTGCGTTACCTAAATATTAGGCATAGTTTTTGCAAATGTTACAACTATTTTACTTGTAATTTTTATTTTTATATTTTTAACACTATGCACCTCTACTTTTCCTTCTAAAAATATACCTATTTCCTCTTATTAACATCATCTCCAACTATTTAAGCAAAAATACATATATAAAACATAAAGATATAGTAAATAAAACCCTTTGATTTCACGAAAGTATTTGTTATGTTTTTTGATAGTGAAATGACAATGGTTGACAACTTCGATTTTATATACATCTAATAACAATCCATAATACTGACTCTTATGCAACTAATATAACATTTTACTAAGCTATCTACTTTTTTATTATACCATATAGTTGTAACCTATAGCAAGTCATAGATGATGGCCAAACCCTACAACATAAAAGCATACAGTAGAATACCATGGGATGATCATAAACTTTTTTTTTTTTTAGTTTTAGGATGAGTTTAAAATAAGAGCTTCAATAAGGGATATGTATACATGGGTGTATGAGAATGTTTATTGCTAGGAGTTTCCATTACTTAAATAGTAAAACTGTTTCCATTACCAAAAGTCATATGAATAGTATCATGATAATGAAACTTTGAACTAATAATGAAATGATTCTCTTTGTAAAAATAGTATATTTATATTTGTTGGGTTAGGTTTTAGTGTTTTGGATAATAATTATTATTATTTTAGTTGAAATAGTTGTTGAATATACCTTTTTTAATTACAAATATATTTTGTATGATATATTAATAAAAAAATAGGTGTAATTTTTGTTTAGGCCAGGGAGGGGGAGAAGGTATTGTACATGTATAGTGTTAATTATGAAATAATTTAAATTAAAACACACACAATCTCTAACTAGTATTTTTGATCAAAATATTGTGTAAATAATGAATAAAATTGAAGGATAAAAAATAAGCTCTAAAAATGACAAAGGTTCTTTAGTTGATGTTTGTTGGATTCTTCGTCACAAAGAGAACCAAGAGGAGGAAAAAAAAAAAATTGTAAGATACCTCACTCAAAAATGATATAGCTAAATAAACTTTTGATACATGACAGATAACGAAAGCAATGCCAGTTTGTGCCTCTCCCAGAATGTTCTTTGCACCTATAAAATTTGAAATCCATCAATCATTTACTTGGTACAATTTTTTTATTTTTATTTTTTATTTTCTAAATTTTAAATATTGTTGTTTCTAAGGAGGTTTGTTTGGGCAAAGGTTTGTGATTGAGCATGAGATCTATAAATAAAAAAATTGAATTAAAATAATATTTTGATGTGATAATTTTTATATATAAATTGCGTTTTTGATCTATTATTTTAAATAAAAAATATTTGATTTGATTGATTTTAGGAGAAAAAAATATTTTAATGAATATTGTGGGATTGGAAGTTTATAAAAACCTACTTTTTGGATGCTTTTACTTTACAGGGCATGGGCAAGGGTGGCAATCGTTTGTACATGTAACAATCTTTTACACATCTATGGTATATACACTAAACATGTTTTTTCACAAAATTAATTAATAAAAGCTAAAATTATAATTGGAGATTAAATGTCATATAAGGCCATTGTTTGACAATAATGTAAATAAATCATAACTTCTTTTGTCTGTTTAAATTTGTAAACTAAATTTGTTTCTTTATTTATTTTTGGGATGAAACTACATCGGTTTATTTTTATTTTTAAATCACATCAATTATAATTTTGTTTGAAGTAGAAACATAGGTAACCCTATCTTTCGAAGTTGAAGTTAAAAAATTCCAAATTATTGTAGGCTTGTAGAAACACTATAGGTATGGCTAGGTAGAGTAAGGAATATAGACATGGATAAAAGCAATCATTTTTTTATAACATATCACTGATAACGTTCATTTTTCTTTTTTTTTTTTTCAATTAAAAAAGTTTAGTAACAAAAACATTCCTTCTTAATTATATAGAAAAAACATTGTATTTTATATTGTTGTTCAGAAAAGTGCTTTACACGAGTAAAGACATCGGATTCCATCATTATGTTCTTAGCAAACGGTTGGTGTGCCATATTCTTTTAGCTTACTCTAGAGTCTTTGTAGGTGAAATGTGTAACTAGTTGTTAGTGTGGACTCCTACTTTGGACAAGATGTATACCGAACTTGGTGGAAGGGTTAAGTGCTTTCTTAAAATGTGTCTCTTGCCTAGTTTGTGCTGTCAAATCTTTGTCTAGCCTTGTCAATTTTTGAGATTCCTGGCCTTATTCTTAAACACTTTGAGACGGACTAAGAGGTTTTATTTGAAGTGATTTAGATACGGGTTGGAAAACATTCAAAGTGGTAAATATGGTTATTGATCTTGGGGTTATATGTCTTTCGCTCAAGGTTGCTTGGTTGTCGATGTTGCCCTTTTTGCCATCTTAGAAAAAATCTCATTTTTTTCTTCATTGCTTTTTAGTATCTCGTATAAGTGTACTTCTTGAATCGATGAGTTTATTTCCAATGGAAGTTCTTGGGAGGCAACGATACGAATTGAGAGATCTGGGACACTTAATACGGTGATACTTTTGCCTTTTGGTAACCGTCAAATTTTGCATTGGGATCATCTTCAACAAGACAGGAATTCTTAGAAAAATAGGCAACTTCCGTTTTTAATGGAATGGAATATAGGAAAGTTACCACTCATAGATGCTCCATTCACCTTTCTAGTTAATAACCAACAAGAAATTCTAATCACTTCTCTATCTGTGAAGTTGGAATGCAACACTATGATTGACTCCAGATTAAGGGTGGTGGAAGATAAATATGGGGGGTTCAACATTCGGTAAGCCTATGCAAGTCGGCATTAGTGCGGTAATGAGTGGTTACAATGGGCATGTTGATTATCTATTGAATAGGTAATTAGTTATTTCTTAAGATCGTTGTCAAGTGCAACTCCATATAAAGATTAGAATCCACATGATGACTTGTTATGACAATTTTCACAATGTTGTAATTGACCCAATGGTTGTAGTTACCTAAGAAACAGCCCACAATAGTTGAGAGGAAACTTAAAACTCCACTGACGTTGATGTTACATAGTAGCAAACATGGACAAGAACAAAAAAGCCATAATTAACAAATATTTTAATCAAGCCTTACGAGCTACCAAAGGCATCTCATGTAAGGTGACCAATTCAATAAAAGAAGTAAAATGCATAATCTTATCCAAGGAAAAGTCTAAATTTATAGCTAACATATGGCTTGTTCACAATTATGGCTAGTAAAACAAGTGTCTCTCTTATTATAACATTTTTTAATACATATAATATGTCAAAGAATGTCCATATGTGTGAGTCGTGTGTATATATCAACGGTGCACCATGGGGCCATTTGCTAGGAAATGGCATTTTCCCATATGCTCTTATGTGCCATTTTTCCCATATGGTATGGCGCGAACCACATGCACCATGCTAAAGACATTGTACCTGACACCCTAAACATGTTTCTTTCACTAGCAAGGGGCACATGCCTTCTAGCACACCACTATGCCTTCATGTGCAATTTGCCCAAATGGTATCGCACGAGTCACATGCGCCATATGAAGGACATTATTCTCACTTTCTAGACATTCTTATTTCTCCTTTTATTTTTTAAGAGAACAATTGAGCCTTTACAAGAGAAAATAATTGAGCCTTTTCTTGCAAAGAAAAAGCCACAATTTAAGCATTAGCTATAGCGAGAGAGAGAAATCTTCACAACACCAATCACCTTGTTTTGTGAAAGTCTACTAATTGTAGTGTTCATAGGAACATGTTGAACAATGACGTGGGAGCCTCTAGAGATGGAGTGACATGATTTGTGATTCCATAATCATAAATAAATTCTATCGAGGCGATGCACCATAGATTTGATCGAGGTCATTTTCAAAATTGCAACCACAATCCTAGGTACAAGCTGAATTTTCAATATTCAATCGGAAACTTGGTTCATGGCCAAAATTTCTGTATCATTTGACATGGCAACACCAATAGATTTAGATAGGATTAAGAGAACATGCCCATGATGATCCCTAATAACAGCGTCAATACTAGTTCGGTTGGGATTCCCAAAGTTCAATCTGTCCATACTTATTTTCCACCAATCTGGCTTCGGAGCCATATGCAAAACTGTATGCCTTGCTGAAGGCAAAGGTGGATGCATGATATATCTTGAAAGTCAATCACCAAAATGGCGAGAATATCCATGAGTGTGAACCTTTATCTATACTAATTCCAAAACATAGCTGCTAGCAAATTATTCCTAGTTAAGCCATAATATTCCTTATTGTTGAAGAACACTTATCACTCTGTAATTCCCAAAAACCCGCCTTGCATAGTCTTCTCCAAATTTCACAGTTCATCTGGAGGTATACAAGGAACTTCCATCACTTTTAAAACATGTATGTATATTGTCAATTGAGGAAATGTAGAACACCTACTACTCCCCACTCCCCTACTGCTATGTTATCTTAAACCTTAGGATACCTAAACATGCTATATTCATAAGTGATTGATGTTTCTAACTAGTTTAATTAACGTCATGAAATAGCGTGTACAAAGAAACCATAGATAATAAAGGAAGAAAATGACAGAATAGTATAAGAAAAGTCATGCCCCATAACATAGAAGCAAACTATTTTCCAATTGATTTTTACATTTTACAATAAAAGAACATCTCAATGTTTCTTTGGCTGTATTTTTCATTAGCATACCAAATTTCATATTAGCTCAATAGCTTTGGAGAATAGACTTTTTATTGAGCGGACGTGCCTTCACGTTGGAGATTTCTAGCATGTTTCTAAATTTTTTGAAGAAATGCATTGAATAGGTGCAGTTATCTCAAATATTAGAGATCTAAATGCAGATTTAAAAAGTCGAATCATGACGATTTTGGAGATGTCTCCTGAATGGAAGTGATTTTGATTTCCAATTTTCACGCTGTGATATAGGATCTCTTTAAATATAGCACTGCATTAACCTCTAGAGTTCTGCATGTTTTAATTCTTATTTGTCACAGAATTTACTACTAAAATTGGCTATCTTGAGAAACTGCAAAATTTTTGGAGACAGGCATCTGCTTTAGAATTTTTATGTATTTCTTCAAAAATATAAAAATAAAAAATAAAAATGAAAATAGTGTATAGATGTGTGTTCTTTGATATGTGTAACACGAAATTCTAGTGCTGCTGTCGTAACAAACAGGATCAGAATAGGTTTATTGTATAACTGCATATATTGAAAGCTCTGTTGTTGTTTTTTTTTTTTTTAATGTTCAAATGAAATGACTACCCCATACAATGTGAAAACTACATTAACTTAAAGGAATTCAATAAGCCAAAGTATAGTTTTAGAGCACATAATATAAGCAATGACTCACTAGTGAAATTGATGGTTATGTACTTTGCGTGATGGCTTGGGTAAATGCAACTAGGCTGATTATGCTTAAGTGGTAGATATTTGTATGTATACATATATTGTTGAACTGTATATGTGCGTTGTGTGCATGCATGGTTCTTGTAATTCAGGTGAGCAAGTGGTTTGCAATACCTGACTGAATTTTGATATGATTTCCTGCCAGAAACTTGAGCTTGGGTAGCCAAGGCATACACAGAACCCGAGTTTCTCTCCTTCAGCCCATTTCAAAGAGCTTGTTGTTGAGAACCCAGTAATGCAGGTATAAGATATGCAACTAACATACCAAATTTAATAGATAAAGAATCCAGTAAAAAAATATCATACTTCCTTACTCGTATCCATAGGAAGGACATAACTTCGTTGCAATTTTGTGGTTCACCTAGTTGAGTCTTGGGTCATGGAGAATCTGATAAAGATTATATCATTAGATTTAGGTTGAATATTATTAAAGAAAAGGATATAATCAAATTCTGATGCTGGATTCAGAAAACAGCCTTCTTTGTTGTGATGCATAAAGTCTCTTACCTTCTTTTTTTTTTTTTTTGGGTCACCATCATTTCCTTCTGCACTGATAGTTTTTTCCTATTGTTATTTGATGGAGAGCACTAGAAAGGTGAGAATATTTGGCAGTACTCTTATCCAACTTAAGTGGTGGGCATCATCTTAACTAATGTCCATACCATGTCTTCTCGATCTCATAATCTACCACTTTCGATTTTTTTTTTCTTTTTTTTTTTTACCAGAAAACCATTTGCTTTCTTCTGGTTTTTCAGTTAAGATTAACCCTTTAAGTCTTCCTCACTTTCTAATCAAAAGCTGGATTATGGAAACTTAACAGAACTAGAGCAAACCATAACTCATAGCATTGCTCTCTTGGTCGAGAGAATTCACAAATGAAGCACATTGGGGATCCAGGTGCAATGCATTTGTTCCTTGGAAGCCTAGTCACATTGCTGTGGACTGGAGTTTCTTTACTAATGAAATGCGCTGATGATGGGATGGATATGTAGAACCAGAATGTACTACTAATTAAGCATTTACAGGTTCTGCTAAGTATAGAATTTGTATTTCATCGTTGAGGTAAATGTTATATCTATCTGAAACCATTCTTTATGGAAGTAAAGATGATCAATTTGGTCCTGTAAGGGATGGTCTGGTGGTGTAGGGGCTGGATTTGTGACCGTGAAGTCATGAGTTCAAACCCCGACACCTCAGGTCACCTGCCACACATGGTTTGCCTTGTGTGACTTTCCCGTCGGGCCTGGTTTGCAGGATATTAGGTTCGGCCGGGGGTTTACCCAGTGCGCACTTTCGGGTAGCGGCTGCGGGTTCCCACGTCGTCCAAAAAAAAAAAAAAAAGATGAATCTGAGGTAATGTATAGTGTCTAAAAGTAATTATAGAAAGCAATTATTTTGCACTTACAATTTTGCATAAGCAAAATTTTGTACTGCAGACACTTTGTTTGATTTTCATTTTTGAATGGTAGTGGTAATTTCTTTGACCCTGTCCTATGGAATGATAGTGTGTCCTTTTTATCTTTTAAATTTAAAACTCAGTAATGAAACCTTCTTTCTAAAATGCTTGGATATTGATGCATACATGATTAAAGTTATATTAGGCCTATGCAATTTTATCTGGACTTATCTTTTTTGAGAATACAAAACAGGATAGAATTAAATAGACAGTAGGACTTGTAAAAAGAACTTTTTATGTTAAGAGTTTAGCGAAAATGATGAAAAAAGAATCTTTTGTATCAAAAGACAGCTTGTTTATGTTCGGTTTCAACTTCTTATGTGTCAAAGAACCATGATCCTTTTCTACAGTTAAATCATTTCAATTTTCAATTAAAGTTGTTGAATATTATTTGCAATACCATAGTTGTATCTTTTGTATCAACTCTTTAGGATTGTTCGTTACAAATTAGATTATAAGCTTAAGAGTATGCTTCCAAGGCATATTTATAGTTTATATCATTTGATAGAGTTATGAAGGGTGTTTAGACATCTTCTTAAAATATTTTGATATTTTGGAAAAAATAAAAATTGAAAACAAAATATTTTTGCAAAGTAATATAAATAAGCGTTGGATGTGATATTTTGTTGTATAGTGAAAATGAAGTTTATTAGTTAATAATGTAAATAAACAACAGGGAATAGTAATTATGCATTTGAGCTTTTTAAGGTTTGAGCCAATCTGCATTGTTTACACACTGAACCCTTTTTTTAGTCGATGAGTATTGATTATTAGGGATACTGGAAACTTTGTAATAAGTAAGAATCCCGAGGGAGGGAAAAACCCACAAATGGAAAGAAGATAAAAGGAGGTCTACAATGGCTAGCTCAAAAAAAATAAAAAAGATCATGTTGAAATTGAGAACTTGGTGAAAAAAGGACTATAAAATCAACACAATAATTTCTTTCATTTTCTTCTTGAGAAAAATCGTTTACACCTTAACAAAATTCTGTTTGTTTTCTTTTGCATAGAATGGGACAAATAGCAAAATATCTTATTGTGGTTTGCGAAAATTGCTTAAAAGACACTTTGGTCCTAAAATTTCGTTTTACCTACTTGTGGTTTGAAAAAATTATTGCATCAATTAGTAAGTAACGAAAATTATGAGGCACATGCTTAAACTGCAATTGATATTACAAACTCATATATAACAGAGTATGAAGTTAAAAAAAAAAATACCATGTTTAAATTGCAGTTTAAGCGCATTATATATGATTTTGTAATATCAATTGCAGTTTAAGTGCATTATATATGATTTTGTAATATCAATTGCAGTTTAAGTGCATTATATATGATTTTGTAATACCAATTGCAGTTTAAGCGCGTGCCTCATAATCTGCGTTAATTACTAACAAAAAGTATTTTTTGCAACATTTCTCAAACCACAAGTGGGTAAAACAGAATTGTAGGACCGTAGGATTTTCTCAGCATTTTTCGCAAACCACAAGGGTATTTTTTTTGCTATTTTGCCCTTAGAATCTTGATCCACTCATTTGCACTATGATTGATAATTATTTAGAGCTTGTTTGGTTGGGTGGATTTGAATTGAATGGTGAGTTATAAATGAATGAATTTTAATTACCTCGAATTTAAAATATTTAATAGATTAAAATCTATTATTTGGTTGTAGGAAGTACTTGAAGATGACATATTATTAGAGTATTTGAAATATTATAGGGGATAAATTTGGAAAGCAATCTTATATTTTAGGGTGTTGTCAAACGAAACTAATGAATTTGATGAAGTCATTTAAAATGTCTTAAACCCAAATCCTTCAAACCAAATGGGACTTCAGTGAATCTTAGAGATGATATAGTGCTAGCCATGGTTGTCCGGCGCCCTTTTGCGGCGCGGCACTAGGGGACCGCTATACCGCCATGGCGACAAAATGGCGAACGCAGCGTACTATGTATAAAATTAAATAGATATATATAATTATAAATATCATAAATCCGTAAAAATAATACATTATTAACTTCCTATTAATCTTCAAAGCTTCATATGCCTTAAATCATAAAGAGAAATATAATACCATAAAAAATGTAATTTCAATTATCAAACAAAACAAAATACTATCCATAAATCTCTAAACCACCAATTTTATCATCTCAAATTTCAACAATCAAAGAGCTCAAGTCCACCACAACCACTAGGAATATCTTCCAAATCATCATCATCAATGTCATCATCTAACGATACATCTTCATCGTCTAATTCTTGCTCCATCAATGCCGAAGTTGACGCTTTCTTAGGACGTCTAGAGTATAATTGTATTGATGAACCTGATGTATCTCCGATATTTCCCTTTCTAGGAATATTGCGGCATTCAAGATTGGCCGATGCACCCATAGCTTCATCAACATAAGTCCATGTAAGATCCTCTTCGGAAAGAACTACATTATTGGTGTCGAGAACCCACTCGTTAGCCCATTCAAATTTCTCCAATACCAAAGGATTGAAGTTTTTTCCTTCCTCGCGTCTCTTTTGAAATCTATTCGCAATTTTTCGATAATATTGAACGAAATCTAAATCGTTCAATCTTTTATGTTTCAATCTACTTCGTTTTTTGTGTGAATCTAAAAAAAATAAATTATAATATATTAGTATATGACTACGATAGCAATAATGCCTAATATATTATTTATATAAGTAATTAAATACTTACAAATTCAAATGAGCTCCAATTGCGTTCATACCCGGAGGACAAACAACAAAGACTAATTATATGGAAAACAAGTGATTGAAGCTCGAAATGAAGGCCTCTCTAAAAGCATTCCACCAATCAACTAAAATTGTAAAACATTAAAAAAAAATATATTTAGTTCGAACTTTAAAGAAAAATAAAAAATAAATAAATAAAATAGAAATTATAAATATTAAGCACTTGCGAGGACTTTTTGTCTTTTGTTGCTTAATAGCCAATTGTTTTCCAAAGCTTCCGCGCATATTATCATAATCATCGACTTGATCACAAATCTTTGTTTGCAATTCATTATCAGTGACCATTTTTTTAAGAACATCATTAAACATAGCTCGTGCCTTATGAGGATATGGATTATCACTCACCTTGAGATCAAAGTACTTGGAAGGATTAAGAAACAATGCAGCTCCATACAACTCGACTTCCATTTGATCATCTCACTGACAATCAATAATATGCATAACTTCTTTCAACAAATTTGGCTTTTTCTCAAAATCCTTTTTTATTTTCCTTTTAGCTTCATTTATCGCTACTGCAAGCTCCAGCATCGCTGACTTCTCATCCCCGTCAACGATCCTCAAAACAATTAGAAGTGAATGCGATGCTTTTATACAATATTCTACATGAGTCCAAAAAGGAGAAGACAATACCGTATTTGCTACTAGTCTCCTTGCATTTATATTAGCCAATTTCGATGCAGTCCAATCCTCGCTAAAAAATAAGCTCCTCAAAGCATCTCTATGCTTATATAAGCTTTGCAAAGTAAAAAATGAAGTAGCAAACCGGATAGGCCCAGGTCTCACAAGATCACAGCCGTCCGTCTTCTCCCGCATCGCATTAAGGAGCCTTACGTGCTTATAGATATAGCTAGTAACTCTTCTTGCATTGTCAATCTTTTCCCGGAAAACAAACAATTTCCTGATATCTTCCAACATAAGATCAAGACAATGAGCTGCACAAGGAGTTCAATATAAAGTGGGTATACGCTGCTCCAACATTTTACCTACTGCCTTGAAATTAGCACCATTGTCCGTTACTGCCTGAACCACATATTCTTTTCCAATTTCTTCAATTTTTGCCTGAAGTAAATACGCCAATAGTGATGCAACTTGAGCTTGACTTGATGCATCAATCGACTACAAAAAAAAATGTACCTTCTGGGCTATTGACGAGGAAATTAATCAAATGCCGCCTTCTTTTATCCATCCACCCGTCAACCATAAATGAACATCCGTATCGCTTCTAAGCAATTACATGTTTTTTTTAATGTTTGCGTCTTTTTTACCGTCTTCTCCAAAAGAGGAACTCGTAATTCATGATAACTTGGATCTTTTACACCCAGTCCCATCTGCCCCGCTGACTCAATCATTATCTCAAAACTTCGAGACTTTGCCACATTGAATGGTATGCCATTTTCGTAAAAAAAAAATTGGCAATATGTCCATGAAATCTTTTGATCTCCTCCTTGCTCCTTGTACACGCTTCCAATGTTCTTTGACTTCCACTACTCGTTTTGCTATGTCTTTCCTCAATGACTTCCTCCGGAGTTTTTCTAAACATTGAGACAACCAACTTTCTTTCTTTTCCACCTTATGACGGCATCAATGGAAAATTTAGAACAAATTGCAAACGAAGCCTCCTGCTCAAAGTACCCGAGCTAGGATAAAAAACTGAGCTGTACGATACCCCTTGCCTTGCTCCTTGAACATTCACATCAACATCGTTGTCGTCATCTAATTCAACACGACTACGACTGGGCTGCTTTCCTACTGTCTTTTTCTTTAGGAACTCCCACATCTCATACCGGATTTTATCGGTAGTTTTTGAACACTTCTCTATATCTCCAGAATTTTCAAGCAAGTGTTGTTTCAATCGTTTTATTCCCGATTGTACTTGTTTATGTCAAAGAGAACATTCTATCAAATCTATATTTACCAAGTCCGGCCAAAAAGCATATTTCCAACCCGGATCATTTGACTTGGCTTTTCTTTTGGGATCTTTGGATGGATCTGTTTCACTTTCGGCCATAGCAAATTTAATCCTATAAATATTTAAATATCAATATGTCAAAATAATACAAAATAAATAAAAAATTTGTTTTATAAAATGAAAAAATATAGAAAATATGTTGCAAAATAAAAATAAAGCATATGAAGCAACTTCAATCAATTCTGTGCGTGAAAGATCAATTCCACTAAGAAATCAAAATTAAGATTCCACTCACCCAAATATCGAAGATGAGGAATAGCGGACTGGAGCGGCTTCGGCAACTGGAGCGGCGTCGGTGGTCTGGAGCGGCTTTGGCGGACTGGAGTGGAGGGAAAGATTCGCAGAAAAGAATTTCGGCGCAACAAAACAGAAAAGATTTGAGAAGGACTTTATATTCAGGCCGGTTTAGGTAGGTTTAAGGGTAAAATCGGGTTAGGGCTTGATTTCAGGTTTAAGGCTACACACCGCAACGTCGCCGCAGCGTCGCCATACCGCCTTATGTCATAAGACGGGGGCGGTGATGCCTGGCGCTCCCCAATGAGCGCCAGAACGCCGTGGCGACGCCGTGACAATCATGGTGCTAGCTTATTAATATAACAAACTACAAAAGGGAAAGGGTGTGGAGCTAGTGTGGAAAGGGTGTTGAGCCGGTGCCTAATTGATCTTGTGAAAGGATGTCTAGAATATGAACAATAGTGAAGTTTTTTGCTTCAATTGTCGTTAAACTTATGGCACTCATACATCAAATTTTTATTTTAAAAACCAAAATGTCACAAGTAAAGAGGCATGATTTACGTGGTTGAAGATAAATTGCTACATCCATGGACATAATATGAAGAAGTTCCATTAATCAAATGAAGTTTTCAAATAGAATGTGTGACCAAATAGATTCCCAAACGGCCAAACAACTGGACCAACTAACAATCCAATTGTATCCAACAGGTGATATTGATTCAAATTAATCACCAACTCAATACTTACAAGTTAATTGAGAAGACAACAAGAACAAATAAATCTGACAACAACCACATAAACTTGCAACAACAAGCAATAGGTAGTGCCCCCCAAAGTTTCTTTGCATATTAGACAAATCAACAATTGGGGGCACAACTATAAAGGAATCTGACAGACACCAAACACATTCTGATTCAACAACAATAAGCCAAATTTGGATAACAAGAAGTTGTAGTCGAAATTCTCTTGCATGGATAGCAACAAATGACGGAAGGTAGTATCCATCTCTCTACATCCTTGCGGGTCTACGTATTCCGAAGAATGATAGATGAGTCTATGCCCTAACCGGTCTTTAATGATCCCATACCAATTAGCCTTATTTTTCCATAAGCCATGCCATCTGTATTTATTTCAATCAACGTAACTTCAAAGGCATCTAAGCTTATATAGATTTTACAAATGTCTTATGTCATGGCATTTGGGTAATTTCTTGAAGTTTTTTAACAAGAAAGGCTAGGGGAATGTAAGGGGAAATTGGGCCCTATACCAATTGCTAAAGGCAAAGATGGAGCAAAACATACCCCATCCATTAGGAATTCTTCACCATTCATTTAAGTCCACCCTGCCTATATGCTTTGTCACATTGAAAAATATGTGCCAAAGTGGTCTCTAATTATAAATATGATACCAAGTAGCTTGGGGTTTTCACAAGCCGTGTCATCTGTATTGATTTTTCACTAGCCCAACTCTAGAGTCATACAAGCTAATGGACATTTCATAAATGTCCTATGTCATGGCATGAGGGCAATTTGTTGAAATTTTTTCACAAGAATGGACAGGAGAATGTAAGGGGGACTTGCACCCTATACGAATTGCCAACGGAAAGGTGGGACCAAAGTTAACCCCCATTCACTAAGAATTCCTCACCATTATAAACCAAGTGTTGTAGACTTTCCATAGTCCTTAAAGAACAACAATGTATGGTTTGTTCTATATTTTTGCGATCCATGTGGGGATTGGTGAGGGATTTCCATTGTATGATGAGATAAACACCAAAAAAGGCCAAACCTAGGAAATGACCAACCTATTATATAGATCACCCGAATCCCTTGTAGGAACAAATTCAGCACTAACTTGCAATGCAATTGTCTACTTCTTTCACATGAAGATTCCTGCACAAGTCTCTAAATGTCCGTTTTTTCCCATTCTTTCGAGCAAACAAGATTTATAGATTAATAACCATGGGTTGTCCTAAAATATGAAGCAACTACCATTCCCGATCTAACAATCAAACTTATTTTCTTGTAATTCTAATTTTTTGTATTATTCTTAGATAAATGCAATATTATATTATCCTATTGATGGCTCCATTTACACAACACTCATAAGTTTTGACGTTATTAATCAACAATTTTTTGAGAAAACATGCCTCAAATATCTATCCTTTCGCAGAGAACATCGCATCAAATATTATCTTTTTACTATTCCCAAATTTTTATTTTTCAAAACTTCAAAAATCTGTCTAAAGATGTTTGTTTTAATTATTGCGCACTTTTTATATGGAATAATTACATAGGTTTTGTCCATTTTGCCAGTTTTTAAATTTTTATTTGAAATACTTTATACATTAGTAAAAATCGTAATATAGAAGGATAAAAGAGCACAATTACATCCAAATAATAAAAAATTGCAATAAGGTAGTAGAATTCTTGTTTAGTTTGAGTGACTTGATGTAGCACAAAGACTTATATAGTTATTTTAGGTTGTTGGGGGAGAAATAAAACGCTTTATTTATATAAAAATAAGGAGGAATACATAGGCAGAGAACGCCAGTCTTAATATTCAAAACACAATATTGAAAACACATCCCAAAGACCATTTTAAATGATAGATTGATATCATACCAAATTGCTTAAATGTACCCAGTATAAAATTGATTGTGATTTAACAAAAACTATGCTATATATGTCATTCAATTGTGTGCTTATTTGACCGGACACAAATTTTAAGAAAAATAGATAAAAATAGAAATTTTTACTTTTTAGGGTAAAAAAAGAAGTAGAAAAAATAGTAATTTTTTTACTAAAAAATAAAATAAAAATAAATTTAGATAACACAATCAAAAAAGAAAAGTGAATATAAATTTGAATGATAGAGGAAGTATTAATTATAAATATGTAAAGGTGAAGTAAAGAAAAAGTTATATGTTAAAAATAAAATGTTGCAAACAAGCTACTTCGTGTGTGTGTGTAAATAATGTAATTATTTTTTATGTTGTATGCATAGAAGTTAAGAACTAGAAGTAGCAAACATGCTGAAATTATTATTCTGTAGTTTTCAGAGAAGCGCAATATATTCTACTTTAGAGCAGAGGAAAAAAATATTTGATTACTTATAATAACCTCAAATGTACTACTTAAGAGTAAAAACTTCTTGGAAGAATCTAAAGGGAGCCAATACACATCCATAACCCCATCTTCTCTATGCTTCTAGTTTTCTTCACCGTATATCTCTGTAAACTTTCTATGCTCTTTTTTCATTAAGATAACTGGAGATTTCTTATTAGCATTTTAGTCATCTTTTTATTACTACAACCGAGGAAAATGGTGTAGGCTGTGTAGACACATAAGATACTCAGATTAACTAATATTGTTCATACTTTTTACATATAGGTAGAAGACACCAGGGGCATGCATTCGTTAAAGATGCTACAGTAGTCAGAACTAAAGAGATGGGGTGAGGAGCTTACACCAGGCAGTCAAGTCCACAATGTCTTCTTACAAACGACGATATTGTGCGAGAGAGCTGTGTGTCTCATCCATCCGAGTTGTTATTACAACATGCCAAAAGTCCAGGAAAGCCTAGCAGTTTATTTTACTTTTCGAGCACTTCACTACTGGCACGGACATTGAGATCCATTATCAGCATATTTTTCTTCCTGCCGGTATTGCTTCCAGCAATCTATAAGTTCAATGAACAGTGATATGTATAAAAGGATAGACTTTATTCTACCGTTTGCAGAGACTGATACTGTCATTATGTGTTTAGATATGGCTGTGACGTGGATTACCTTTTCCTCCAGACACTTTTTCTCTTCGGCCAGCGTCTTTTCCTGTCCAAGACAACAGGTCAGTGCTCTAATACCAGTGCGGAATGCATCAATAAAAATAGTAGGGTACACACTGCATTTAGACATTTTCATAGTTTCTGTGCCATTATTCTTATATTCATAGGTGTGTTTGTTTGGGGTTTTGGATTTTGAGTTGGGATTTGAATAGTAAAAATTTTGAATTTGAATAGTTGTATGATGTGATATAAATAGGTGTTGATGTGATGTTTTGAATGTAAAATTGATTTTTAGTATAATATAAAAAATGAAAAATAGGTGTTTGATTTGATGTTTTTGGGGGGGAAAAATGGGATGAATAGTGGAAATCTAATCCAATCCCCCAAACAAACACACCCAAATGAATTAATTTGCATTATCTCCTTATGCATACATTTGGAGACTGCATAGATTGCCAGACTATTTCAATATGAGGTTTGATGCTGTATGTTTTTTTGATGTTTAATTATTTATCTGATCATAAGAAGATGCAATATAGGCATGGAACTGGAGAAATGCCTTTTGAGGTTCTTAGACATTGTAAATATACCCGGATCTTAGTTCTCAATGTCTTGATGATGATTAATCTACTCTAGAGGGTTTAAGCTGATCTTTAGATTGATCTCAGCTTTTCTAAGATAAGTTATGTGAAAGACAATCTAGCTGGCAAATAGGTCTATTCTTTTTTCTTTTTTTTTGATACTCTTGAGGTGCAGGAAGTACAGATATTTGAGCCAGGAAAGATCAAGTACTGATGTGAAACCTATATTGCACAGAAATGATTGTACTAACAACCTGTGTGTAGAAATTAAGATATTGAAAGTTTCTAAATAGAATCAACTCTTTTATCAGTATATGTCATTAGCTCCTCATCTAGTTAAAGATTGTGAGTGAGGATGTGATGCAAGTTGTCTAAGAAGCTACTATATATGTGTCTGGTGGGCAAGAGATCAGAGGAATTTAATCGGGTATATCATTTTCTTAAACTTTAGCAATCTGAAGCGCAATAAATGTTTTTTTCATTGTTGTGAGAGTAAGTAATGGAAGACACAAAACATCATACCTTTTCATGAAGGCTTGATATGGTATCCAGCAGCATATGCGTCTGCACCAATTAAAATTAATAAATCTCAACATGAGATATTGTGTGTGCTAAGAGTTTAGCAGTTGAGTTACTTGTCAGTGAAGAATTTGATAAATAGACAAGAGACAGCTAGACACTAACGGGCTTTTGTATGGATTGTTTTCTTCTGTAGGTAGCAAACCAATGTTGAATGGTTCTAAAATGCATTTTCTGTAGGTAGCAAACCAAATGTTTAATAGTTCTAAAATTCTTTTATCAACCATGGTGACCAAGAGAACATAAGTAAATACTAGCATCTGATAACACTAATATTTAGTAATATTACGAAAAATCCCAGCACGCTACTTTAATTCACAAAATATTTGGTAAATATGAGGTCAATAACTTCATGGTTTCAAAACATTAGTGTCTAATTGTTTATAGCCCAAAACTCAGAGGACATGATAATAGGGCAGGGCAGATAGTCAACTTACTCCGACTATGCATGAGCAATAGCCTTATAGAATAAGTTATGGGTGTGTTCGTTTGTAAGATTTTTACAAAATCTTACTATTCATCCCATTTTTTCCCCCCAAAAACATCAAATCAAACACCTATTTTTCATTTTTTATATTATACTAAAAATAAATTTTACATTCAAAACATCATATCAACACCTATTTATATCACATCATATAACTATTCAAATTCAAAATTTTTACTATTCAAATCCCAACTCAAAATCCAAACCCCCAAACAAACACACCCTATATAAATCATCATCATCATTATCCAAGACTGTATCCAGCTATGTGGGATAGCAATGCTATAAGTAATACTAGTTTTTCAATAAATTTGAATTTCACCCATAATCAGTCTAGTTATAATTCTAATAAAAAATTAACACTGTTGAGTTTCTCCTTTGGCAATAGTATGATGCACAGGTCCATGCTTACATTTTAGTTAGAGAAATTGAAGACGTTATGTCTATATACACCTAGAGTAGTTTCAATGAGCTTATTAATATGACAACTCAAAATCTCCAAAACTAGTACTTTACATGCTTATACTTGCCAAATAGTAATCTATTTCTCAGCTAACCTATGGAGGCCTCCTAAGGTATTTCTTTGCTTCATATTCTGCAAATCTGTAACACAATTTACTCTAGTCTGCTTTCCCGAGTTCTTATTTACAAACCTCATTATGATATTAAATTAGAAATTCGACCAGTTCATTTGACATAACCTACATGATTTCATTGGTGATAGCAAAAAACACTGCTAAGAATGATCAAATGAAGAAATAATTTAGGACGGGAGATGAAACTTTAATGATACGATGGGCAAAGAGAAGGAAAAACCTTTGTTGATCTTGTTCGTATGAGTGCTGACTCAAGTTGTTTCTCCAAATGTACAAGGTCTGTCACACTGAGTTCATCAACACATTGTTCCCCAAGTTCCCTTGAAATAACAAATTAGATCTTAAGTTTGAGCTCACCAGCAAAGCCAACAAAACTTAATAGGCTAAGAATGTACCGTTCAACAGTTTGGAGGAGCTCTCCGCTTGTGAGAAAACCTGCATATTTAGAATTCTGTTCCTGCCAGACAACCAGCAAAACTAATAATTTTCTCGAGCAGTACCCCATATGCGAAAATGTGATTCCTCATTATCTGTAATGGAATGAAACATAGTTCTTCATTTACAGTAAATGATTTTACCGGACCTGTTAGAGGTCAAGTGGAAACTCATCTACCTACCTGCGAAGTGAGGTCATACATTTGATATTTTCAATAGCAATAGTTTTATACCCATCTTTTATCATGGCAATGACTTAAGAAATATGTAACCCTAGATCCCCAAGTACTTCCACACAAATTGGGGAAGATAGACATTCCTATTCTGCAAGAAACTGCATTTACCCATCATAGAACTAATGGAGTCCGAGTAATTTACATTTGTTTGGCTGTGCTTCAGTATTGGTTTAGTAGGGAGGAGGTTATGATAAAACCTGCTTGCTTTACTGTCGTATGTATCAGGAACATCATCTTTCACTGAAGAAAGTAGAGGCTATTCCGTAATGACGTTTATGTTTAGAGTAAAATATTGTCGTTTATGATAGTGCCACAAGCTAACATATGAAATGCACAATATTTCTAAGAACTCAAACCACCTGGAAGAATCAATTCATGACTTGGTTTGAAAATTCCTGGGATTTTGGTATATTCTACAATCTACATAGAAAACATATGCTAAATTATTACCATTTGCCCTCCTGTTTTCCATCTTTTCCCCCCCTCATCCGTCACCCATGGAGCTGCAAATCTTATGGAAGCTAATGCAGCTTACAGCCACTGTTTTAGTTATTCACATAAGCGGTTTATTTATTTATTTTTCTGCTTTTTTTCTTCGATAGTACATTAACATTGTTTTATTATTCTTATGTTCTGGTTAGTACATTAACATTGTTTTATTATTTTTATGTTCTGCATATATATATATATATATATATAAGATGTTTACTCAAAATGTGTGATATTAATGGCATGTGTATTATGTACCTTAAAAGTATAGTAGTATTTATAGTCTACACCATGTGCGCCATTTACAACTATGTCAACGTTCAAATCTCACTAAATGAGATGTTAGTTAAATTAATGTGTTTACAACACATTACCTGTGTACCACAACCTCCTTTAGAGGCACCTGATTCTGTATCAACACGGCTCTGATATTGTTGCACGATCTCAGTCAGGCTGTATATCAAGGAAACAAATAGTTAGTGACCATACTAAATCATAATGGCAGTAATTATAATGGTTAAATGTGTTTCTGAAGGCATATAAAACAATCTCTGCTCCCTTTTAGAACATTCAATATATAACTTGTGAGCCATGGGTCAGGTCTAGAAGATGATGCTACTGACTAACAAATGCAACACAAGTAAATGAAGTAGCAGACAAAAACACCAAATTGACGGTTAGTCAACGTGGTGTTTCAAACGGTAACAAAAACAAGTAGCTGACATAAAACACCAAATTGATGGTGACAAACAGTAACACAAACAAGTTATGAGCTGGGACTGCTCTGGAAGCCCTGACAACAGTTCCATTAAATAATATGCTTTAACTATGGATAAAATGAAACATCATCATTCACAACATATGACAATAGCTAGATAAAATGCATAAAAGGTAGTTTGGCTTTATCTATATACCTTTCTAGCATATTGCTAAGGGTGTGTTTCCTTTATTAAATTTCTCCAAATTTCTACTATTCACCAAAAAAATTTTCCTAAAAAATATCAAATCAAACTTCTATTTTTCGTTTTCAATATTATACTAAAATTCAATTTTTACATTCAAAATATCATATCAATATCTATTTATATCACATCATTCAACTATTTCAATTCAAAATTTTTAGTAGTCAAATATCAACTAAAAATCCAAATCCCCAAACAACACACTTAAGAGAATTACACATCAAAGACTATAGCCTAAAAAATCACTTGGAAATTTCTTGTATGCTTTGTATGTGATAATTTCATGAGGACTTAGGCATCCTAAAACTACTTAAAGAAACAAACTCAAACTTTGAAGATATTCTTAAAAGGATTTGTGGATCTTGTAGAAATGAAAAAACACTTGTCAATATCTAGTTATTAGATGAGTAGCATGGCTAGAACATTTCCAACAAATAAATAGACAATTGGCTTATGTAAAATATCAAAATTTCCACAAGTTTACTCGTACAACTTTGTTAATCCTATTATTTTATTTAGTCATATATGGAACTGAGGATGTGTTTTGTTTATGTTTAAAGAAAAAAAAAACATTATCCAATATGGTTCCCGATAAAAATACAATATTTTCTCTTATAAAACATATCAAAGTAGTATTTAATCCAAAATTTAAATAGAAAATTCAATTTCAAATCAAACACACCCTTGAAATATTTCAAATTCATAGTAAGGCAAATCCATTCATTTAAAATCCACAATCAAATTCAAATCTATCCAACCATTTGGGGCCTTGGAATAAATGATTCATGGGCAGTTTCTCATGGCGCACATGAGTGAGGATAAAGTATGCAAAGTTTGGTTGATATGTAGGATAAGTCTACAATCATATAGCACACTCGTCTTGCACAAGAGGTATGGAGCAGTATGGGGTTTTACACTCGAGCTTTTGTAGGGTGTAGTATAAAGTTAGAGCATGCTTAATTAGACATGGCTCTCTGTCCTTACATAGAAGTTCCCCTTTTGCTCCAAAGCATGGTTGATATGTAGGATAAGTCTACAATCATATAGCACACTCGTCTTGCACAAGAGGTATGGAGCAGTATGGGGTTTTACACTCGAGCTTTTGTAGGGTGTAGTATAAAGTTAGAGCATGCTTAATTAGACATGGCTCTCTGTCCTTACATAGAAGTTCCCCTTTTGCTCCAAAGCAATGCCAACTTAACTTTCTCAATGATTTATTCCATATAGATGCGCTTAATAAATCTTTTAAGGTTTTAACATCTTTAATTATCAATCACCAAGCTTGACAAAGCTATTGATAGCCATCAACTTGACATATGATATGTTTTAAAAGTAAAACCATAATATTTAAAAAGCTTTGCACATTAGAGGATTATGCAAATATGGTAGATAGGTTGCATCCACATGTACAAAGGGCCAATTTAACATAAGCTTTAATACTGAGGTATGAAATAGTACATTCCTCTACCCATTTGAGGTATCTTTATAATCTTGTCCAAAAGATTTCATGCTCAATATCCCCCATCTTAATTGGAGATTTACACAAATTTCTAACTTAGACTCAACCCGCCTTTGGGAAGTTTTTTGTCATATTATTAGCCCTCAACAAATTAGTTTATCTTAAAGAAAAAAAAAGTAGATTGCGTTCTCATTGCCAATGAAGCACTCGATAATGTAATTGGTCTACCTTGTTTTTCATTATGAGCATAGTGGCTTTAATGATAAATGGATCTCTTGGACATTTGCTTGCATGTCCTCAACACTTTCCCTTGTTCTGATCAATGGATCTCCATCTTCTTAAGTTAAATATTTGAAAGTGTCTTTGACAAGGTGATACTCTCTTGCCCTCTTTATTTATTGGGAAACTCCTTTGTAAACTCTCATATAAAAGTTATCTATCTAGGTATTTGGTCCACTTCCTATCCATTATTTGGTTGAGGAGCTTCCTTCAACCTATTTGGTTAGATGAGTCCATGCCAAGGCTATCTAACTTGTTCGGGACCAAGTTGACTTTAGACTATGGTTTGGAAGGCAAACTCTTGTTGTTTAGTGGTCCTGCCACTCATTTAAGTCGGCTCGATCAAACTTGCCTTCTTAACACATATTCACAACCTAGATATTGTAATTCCCAAGTCTTATTTAGATAGACATGAGCTATTGTTGGAAGATGCATCTCATCAACTAGATATCAATTGTTCAAAAAAAGTTGTGGTCTCAAGACTAATTTTCGCCCTATGCTTTAAGAGGAACATTTCTTACTAAATGGGTGCAGCCTTCAAGAGTACTCAGCCTTTTGGAAGATCGTGATTTGTGGAAAATATGGGAATAATTTGTCTGTGAACATTTGGGTACCTTGGCCAAACACATACAAATCTTGGAATACAGCTTTTCCAAAAATATTGGATTTTGGGTTGGGTAATGGTAGTAGGATTCTTTTTTGGTGTTGAAGATGGCTGAATTATGCACTCTCAATGCAAATTTGCAAAATCAACATGAACCCCCCTACAATTGTGGGTGTTTGTGACTCATTTGAATTTTTGCATTCGAGTTACTAAAGTACTTCCACATACTACAAGGCCTTAAAATAGCAAACTACCAATAGATAGAGAGAACACTAAACTAGATGTCCTTACATTATTGTCTTTAAAGCTCGGCGTATAAATGGCCAAAGAATTGATAGAAAATTGCCCTTGGTCCAAAATTGAATTCTTACATAAACAAGCTCTATCAACATAAATCCCCCTTCCTAAAATTGTGATCGTGACTTTCAAATTTCCTTCTGGCTTAAGGTAAAGTTGCTTACGAGTTACTAGAGTATCTCCGCGTACTACACTACCTTAAAATAGTCAACCATCAATAGATAAGAGTGAATGCTAGATGTACCTATGTCATGGGCTTTAAACCTTGTCATATAAATGATCAAAGAATTGAAAGAAAGTTGCCCTTGTTCAAATGAAATTGAAGTTTCGACATAAACAAGTTATATCTTGCTATTGAAACCTTCCCCTGTATTTATTTTTAGCGCATCCCTCAAAGGCAATAAATAATTTTGCAAGGAAAAAGGTAGAGCTATTTGTCTAGCTACAATTCGTTTTTATTCTCTTTTTCCCTTGCACCTTTTTGCATCCATTTTTCTATCGATACAATTATTTCTACCTAAAAAAATAAAGTGACACCAAGCAACTTCTTTTTTTTGTTGGTTCTTATACATATCCATTAATATCTTGAAACTCATAAAAAGTATACTCCCTCAATCTTTAGAAGTGTGCTCAAAATTTTTAATTAGGCAGGAATATCAAGAAAATTGGTGTTTATAGGGTTAAAAATGGATTTTCATACGGTGAACAATGTAATTCTTGGATCAAATTAGTTGAGAGTAGAAATGTGTGGGGTTCATCAGTAATGATGGTATAAATAAATGGAAAATATTTGGTAGAAATTTAAAGAAAAATAATTTCCTTTTTTAAACATGGTATAAATATATTTTTGGTAGATAAACTAAAATAGTAAAACAAATGTACCTTTTTTGTAGGAGAGAGTTGCTTCGCAACTTCTCACTAAATTTTGAAATCTTGAAAGCAAAAATTTTTTTGTGCACAAGCCTATCCGTTTTTCCTTTTCTTTATAAACCAAAAGCCATGCATGCAACAACATATCTAAAGATTTACCATTAAATAATGTGTGACTTGCTATGGATTTATTTAGAAATCTAACTTAAATTCATAATATATGATCATTGCTATTATATTTATACGTGTATACTTTGTAATCTTGTTAACATACACGTGTTAGCACACACACACTAAAAACACATCATTTTTATGTCCAATTTAATTATATTTTCTCTATGCATGACAAATTTTATTCAATGTAACAACAATTGATTCTCACTAAAAATAATACGATGAAATAAGATATACATGCTTCATCAAGGTGTTAATATGGTTGCACAGAAAATATAAGGTCTTAATTGTTGCTACAATGACCAAAATCTACAAAATCTATTTTTGTATAAAATTTGTCATGCGTAGTGGTAATATTGTTGCATAGAAAATATAAGGCCTTAACTCGTTGCTACATATAACCAAAATCTGCTAACTCTATTTTCTACTAATATTGTTTGTTCTACACATAAAATTTAAATGTAGTGAAACAGCTACCACGGATACACCATGCTTAATTCAATTAGAGAATCTGCACGAGGGTTTTGGTGTTGGAGCCCATCTTGACTCTTTTGTTACGTAACCCCATTAGCATTTAGGTAATTGCATGATGCAGAGTTCATAGTTCTCATGCTGTCACGCCAGAAGTAGAAAACATTTTAAGAAATAATGTTTCATGAATTTCTAAAAAAAAAAAAAAAAAAACAGGTATATCACACAACAATGTTACATAAAAGAGAGTATAGATCCATATTATCATTAAAATAATTACTGAGGAAGAAAGAAACACAATTACCTAAACAGTTTCACATTTGAAATGAAAAAGGGAGGAAAGAGGGGACTTATGTGACAGCAAGAATTTCAAACATAACAAGTAAATGAAAAATGAGATATATATTGTAAAGAGGGATTGGACAAAGAAAGTCATTAAACATTTATGATCAACATTACATTTGTGGAATTTTAGATCTATAGACTGTGGCAGTTAAATGTTCAAATTTTGAGTTTGTTCACCTAATATTTTTAGGTGGAACAATTCTTCATAAATATTATTAAAAAATACAATATATACATACATTCACATATTATAAATAATATACACTTTTTTCTCTAAAAAAATATAAATTTAACAATTAAACACAAAATATTATTTTTTTATATTATCAACGCAACTTCTCATACTTACTATAAAAAACACACTTAAAAGGATAAAGTAAACAAACCCAACACATCTACTCATTGATCATAAGTTAATAATATAATTATTAACATTTTATTTACTGATAGAAGCCTAGGATAGTTCCTCGTTCCATCGTATAACATAAACCTTGATAAATACTACGTGTGAACATATTTCCAGCATCAATTATTGTAACAATTAGTTTGGTTCAAAGAAACTGTTTTCATCATGCATAAAAATATTTCATCAAGAATGGGACGGGAGAGGTTTTTTTTTTTTTCATTTTTTTCATTTATACCTTACTTTCAATTTTCTTTTTGCCAAGACTAACCATTGAGAGCAAGTTGTCTCTATTTGTGATGCTTATATACATGCATGTTTATAGAATGCAATCCTAGCTGTTCATATCTCAATAAACTAGGCTTTAATTTGAAAATAGTAAAAAAGTTAGTGTCCGAATAATATTTTATGAGAAATAATGTATTTGATGTTTTATTTTTAAAAAAAGTTACTGTAAATGAATGATATCAAAAGTTCCAAAAGTTGGGGTCACTCATAAAGAAAATCATTATTTATGTTGATCACAAGTTACCGTCACCCAACTTGGGTCAATTCTTTCAAGTACTCTCCCATTTAAGAGGTCATATTTATTATTCTACTCGCATCCAATTGTGGACTGAACCCCAATCCTCTAGGGTCTAATGAGAGTAGCTCAACTATTTAAGTTACAATCCCATGCGAGGGGAAATAGCTTTGCTTTTTATGTGAACCTTTAGCAAATTGTAAAATTTATAGTAGTTATTTATATGGAATGTGTAAAGTTGGTTTATTGTGTTCTTTAGTTTCTGGTATTGTTCTTTAGTTTCTGGTACTTTTATATATTTTAATTTATGTTTATATGATCTAATGAAAATATTTATAATGCATTATAATTTGTAGTACTTTTACAATATTATATGTTTGTACGTGCCACTATTGTTGTTTATAGTTGATATTTGGAAGAGGTCGCAGATAATCCTTGCAAACAAGTCGTCATAAATTATTCATGAGAGCAAATTCATCTCGCCAAAAATCACCAGCTCATACTAGCATGGCTTATCTATTGTGACTCTAGACTGGTTGCATGAGCAATAGTATCATCGTAAGGTAGGAGAACATCAAGGAAAAATCGTACACCAATCTTAACCAAATAGAAAGATCTACGTTTAAGCCATCATATATACACATGCCGTCTTGAATATAACAATTTTGAATAGATTACTCATGTCAACAATGTATATATTTTTTTTCGGGAGCTATACTGAAAGAACTCTAAAGTTAAGCGTACTTACTTTAAAGTAATTTGAACATGAGTGATACTCTGGTAAGTTTTTCAGAATGCGCGTAAGTGAGGTTAGAAGTGTGCTAAAAGAACCCGTGTTGACCTGTGGGGCTAGTTTATGATCCCAACACGCTCGACTTTGTATGGATTGCGAGCCGGGGTGTCACAATTGGTATTAGAGCCGATCTTCGATAGTCCATAGTCCTTGACCGGACTGTTGACGGGCCTAGTAGTTGACGATTTTTTTAGCGCAATGCGGCACTTGCATTCTAAGTGGGGGAGGATGTGATACCCCTAGCGTTGGGCCATTGCTTGGCCAACTATCATATGTGGATGAATCGATATTTGACCATCCAAAGTTGATTAAAGGTTAAATGGATTGAATCATGTCAACAATGTGCATATTTTTTTTCCGGTAGATCTACTAAAAAAACACTATAAAATCAAGTGTGCGTCAGCGAAGACAGAAGCACGCTAAAATGACTCGTGTTGACCTGTGAAGTTAGTCTACGATCCCGGCACGCCCGACTTTGCGTGACTTGCGGGCCTGAGTGTTACCATTGTAGAATGAGACTAGTTTGCAATATGTAGATATATAACTTTTGTAGAACTTAAGACATGGCACGACTCATAACCCATGAAACAAAAGAACTTAAAAACCAATGGAAATAAAGTTGGCCGCAATTAAAGGGATTTCTTTTATCCAAGCTATTCTATATTATTAGAAAAAAGATAAATTTTGGTCCGCAAATTGCCCCACTTATCATTTTGATCATTAAAATTAACCGTGTTTGAAAATGACTGTTTTTCACTCATTACCGTACTTAAATGATTTTAATTCTAGGTTTGACACTCACAGGTGCTTGCAGAAAATGACATGATAATAGTTATAATCCATGTGTCTAATTTAGAATTAAGATGATTGGTGCAACAAGGAGTTTAAGAACTAATGAAGGGTTATCTCATAAATGAAATGAATCTAAATATAAGACTAGAGCATGAAACATCCAAGAAAAGGTAAGGCCGAGTTGAATTGGCAAAGATGTCATGTTTAAAATGGCCTTTTAGAGGGTTGAGTTATCTTGGAAACACCCGGCCCACTTTATAAGTTCTTTATTCAAGGACTCAAGGAAAATCATCCTAAGGCCACGAAACTTCATTTTTAGACAAATTAAGTTTTGGCTGGTGAGTAACATCTTTCTACACATTTGATTCACACAAATGAAGTTGCATATAAGATGAGTAAACCCTATCTTGGAAACCCATTTTGCTCAGGACGAGAAATAAGGCATCCCATTACATATCAAAAGCTTTTCCAATGCCCAACTTAAGAATAAAACCCTTGCTTTTACTATGCTTAAGATTGTTCACAACTTTATTAGCAATAAGTGCTCCACCCAATGCATATGATATGTGACCAATCTAGAGGGGGCTACTAATAAAGCTAAGAGCATCTGAAAGGCAATAAAACCCTTGTTTTTACTATGCTTAAGGTTGTTCACAACTTTATTAGCAATAAGTGCACTATCCAATGCATATGATGTGTGACCAATCTATATGGGGCTAATAATAAAACTAAGAACATCTGGAAAGCGTCTAGGCTAAGAGTTAAATATGTGTCAATTACGGATATTGGATGAAAGAATTATGCATTTTTTGGGCATGAGATCTTACTATTATTAGGACGAAAAACAAATCGCCCACTCCATGGGGTATAAAGTAGTCTAAATTTAAAAATCTCAAAAAATTGAATGGCATCATTCTTTAAAGGTCTCCGTAAAGGCTTCAAAGAAGTCCAAATTAACTTTTACCTATTTCAATGGTTGTCTCCAAAACATAAAACGAGCCTTTTTAATCTCTCTCAATGGAAAAAGGCCGAACAAGAGGCTACAAACTTGTCTCGGGGATCTCGGAGCCCTTTCTTTTCCCGTCCCCCCGCCCCAGCATAGCGCTTCGCTTCCGGTTCTTCGGAAGAATCCACTTGATTCTTAACCGAACCAGAGATAACCATTGGACTTTGAAACTCAAAAAATACACTAAAAAATACAAAATCATTCCTATTTTGGCATCTCAAAATGAATTAACCTATGACCCATTTAATAAGCGAAATTTTTGTTTGAGGCTTGGGAAGTTGCAACCAAACTATGGAAGAATTTGGTGTTGATAAAATTCTTGTCTCCAAATAACATTGGCCTTCTTTTCCCGTAGAGAAAAGTTTGCTTGTTCATGAGAGGGTGTTTAATATATAGTTGAAATCAAATATGTGTTGAAATCAAATATGTTTTTTGTTATTTGACTATTTATTATACTTGTCATGGAAAATAGCATTTGTGGATTTGAATTTTTTTAATAGTAAAAGTTTGAATTAGAATAACGTTATTTGATGTGATATAAATAAATAGATAGTAATGTGATATCTTAAAAGTAAAATTAATTTTTAATTTTTTTGAAAAATAAAAATTGAATAGTAGAATCTTGTAAAAAAAATGCACAAAGAATAAAGGTGTAGTGTCCCTGGCTTGTACATGAGATGGCTGCTCTATCAAAATGCGAAGGTTTTCTTTTTTTTTTAGATATTTTTTCATACAATGGTTGGCTTGGGGCTACATGAAATAGAACTAAAGGAACAACATTCCAATTGAAACTATACATTTCCAACAAGTTTAATTTGTAATTGAATTGCTTTCATTAGCACGTGTTAATAAAGTACATGTACATTACTAATAGATGGAGAAAATGGGGGAGTTAACATTGACAAGAAAAAGGCTACTATAGTTGAACTTTGGGCTACATAGAGACTCGGTGATTCATAAGATCTTATTACCGGATTAAGTACCGGATTAACTACATAACGAGAGACTCAAAAGATCTTATTACCTTATTACTAGATTAAGTGTTTGTAATAATTCTTATTTTAGAAATTTTGTTCTTACTATACAATTGTACATGTTGATAGGAAAATACTACGGAAAATAATGTGTTTGATGTGATTCACTATTAAGGGTGTGTTTGTTTGGGAGATTGGATTTAATTTTCACTATTCATCCCATTTTTTTCACCCAAAAACATCAAATCAAACACCTATTTTTCATTTTTATATTATACTAAAAATCAATTTTACATTCAAAACATCACATCAACACCTATTTATATCACATCATATAACTATTTAAATTCAAAATTTTTACTATTCAAATCTCAACTCAAAATCCAAACCTCCAAACAAACACAAGGCAATAGAACTTTTACAAGAAGTCACTATCCATTATTTTTGCCATCTGATGTCATGTTAGTGCTAAAATCACTATACACTATTTTGCCATTTGATGCAATAGAAACTATTCTTAGATCTCATCGGCATATTAATAAAGATCTCTTACTGAAATTTGAAAACATGCATGTTTATGAGATGGCTACAAGGCACACGGAGCTCTTATAAATTGACTTTGGTACTAAGTCAAATATTTCTTGCAATAATTATGTGAAACAAAATGATCAAATAATTTGATCATTGAGATGTTTCTTGTTATGTGTAGATCTTAGGTACCTTGATAAAGTGTAGATAAAAAAGTAAGTTAAAGAATCCTTGGTTGGATGCTGTTGCACCACAAATTTCCTACCCTTTGAAATCAATTTAATTGTTAAGAAGCCCCTAAATCAAACTTAAAACCCAATTTACTAAGTCCTTAAGAAGCTTGTTGCGATGTGGAGAAACCTCTACACACGTCAACAATCAGTTGTGTCACTTCCATGGGTTGACCCTTCATGCAATGCTTTCTTTAACAATGCGTTCTCATTTCCTCTTCGCCTATCAAACTCTCCAACAACTTTCACTATTGGCTAACACTCATTTCCTCTTCGCCTATCAAACTCTACAACAACTTTCACCATTGACTAACACGGTCATCATCTTTCTTGGTGGATACTTCACAGCGAACTACCCTTGAGGATAGGCTCTCATTCTTAGTCCCTTATCAAACTTCTTCAAACAATGACAGATTCGTTGAATCTCTTTTATAACCAAACAAGACCAAACAATGTGGTTTTTATGTAGTAGTAAATTTGTTCTTCCAATTTACTGATGTTTAAGATACTTTGACTAGCATCCAAACCTTTTAAGTCTAGTCCAGTATGACTTCTCTCGGAGAATGGATGGCTTCTACCAACACTTTTACCTTACCCTTTAATGGGAATCAATGTGCGCCTCTATCCAAATTGTGATTGGAGAATATACACATTCTGTGAACATTAGCAAATTAAGTGCTACAATCGTTGGTTAAATCTCATATCAAAATTATGCTCTAGATAAGTACATAACCATGGAATTCTTTGTTGCTCGTTTTGGGATCATGACGGTTTAGTGGCCACTTTCAAGAATTAGAATGTTTGGGGATCAATCATTATGCTATTGAGGGAACTTTCTACCTTATAATTATGGATTTTCGAATCAAGATTAAAACTCTACGTTAGGGTAGCTCAATCGGATCTTCCTATAGTCCATTTTCCTCAACCTATCTAACAATATGTAGGAGTAAGCTATTTTCCTCTATAGGCATAAAATCAACCACGGACACCTAAATTGAGCACTATGTTGTGCAAAAATCAAGATTGTCTTCAATTTGGACAATTGTCATGGGTTTTACCCTATTTGCATTTCGGTTTTCTACCTTATTTGCCTATAAATTGGTGTAAAGATCAAGATATTATGGGATTTACCCAATTTACTTTTGTGACATCTTCAATTGCATTTGTCTATTCAATCAGGTGACGAGGCTCAAGGAAACCTCAATTTTTGAAGTCATGCTTCCTTAATCAACGACTTAAGCTAAGAAAAGATAAAGACCGTCTTCAATTTGGATGATTATCTTAGGACTTATCCTATTTGCATTGTTGACGTCTACCTCATTCGCTTACTAGGTATCAATGACAAAGGTCAAGGAAACCACACAGAAAGTCACATCTTCCATATTGAGGATTTAAATTATGAAAAATAAAAATTTCTCCAATTCAGACAAGTAATATGGGACTTACCCTATTTGCATTTATGACATCTAACACACCTAACTATTATTCGAACAAGTGACAATGGTCAAGGAAATACTAAATAGTGCTTCGTGAACTATTTGCATTTCTGACATCTAACACACCTAACTATTATTCGAACAAGTGACAATGGTTAAGGAAATACTAGAATAATGCTTAGTGAACTATGTCAAGGAATAATTGTGCTGTAAATAGCTCTGTAATTATGTTAATAGAATCATTATGTAGTCCCTTAAATAGTTTTTTTTTCCCTTAAATTGTTTTTTTTTTCCTTAAAATTTTCTATTTTACATTGTGTATTATCAATTAAAATAATTGTGGGTTTGGATTTTTTAATAGTAAAATGTTGAATTTGAATAGTTGTTTAATGTAATATAAATATAAGTTGATGTAATATATTATACTATAAATTTGTAGTATAATATAAATAAAAGAGAAGTAATTGTTTGATTTAATATTTTTGAGGAAAAAAAAATCTGAATAGTAAAAATTGGGTAAAATCCACAAAAGAATACAACCCTAAGAATTTTTTAAAGGTTTTATGGTCTTCTTCAAACAACCTTCATTGTTGTGTTTTTGTTCAACTCTTAAAGGCGGTGAATTTCTCTTCTTCACCAAGTCAATGTCAAAAATCTCCCATCTTTATTAATTCCAACCCTTTCAAAGAATTTAATTTTGTTCAAAAATTTGGGGAAATGCAAAATATCCGGGCATTCAACAGGTTTAGTGGGAAGAACTATGTCAAATAGTCCCAAATTGAATACACATACCTAATCACCTACTTGGACCATAAAAAATGATCCAACAATTAAAGCATGGGATGAGGATATTTCCATGATTATGTCCTGACGGGATTCCATGGGCCCAACAATCAGTGACATTTGTAGGTTCTTAAATAGGTTAAAGGAAATTTGGTACTATATAATCTCACATACTCAAAAGGCCCGTGATACTGCCCTTGTGTATGCAACTCTATTGTAAATTTTTAGGGAGGGAATATGCTCGATGGTGTTGTAGCGTGAGGTGGGGGAGTGTTCTCACGGGTTGACAAATTTGCCCCAAGTTTTGGCCATAATCTATTCCATGTGTGTGAACCCTTGTCCATATACCTATATCTCGTATAGTTATGTGTCCTGCATATATCTCTCATTATCAGCAATCCTCAAGCTTGTTGCGCACAAGGGATGGCTATCCTGGCTTTCACAGCATGCGAGGCCAAGTGGCCGGTCGTGTCAGTTGTTGGGCATATAAAAGAGAATTGGTTGTTAAGGCTATATAGGCGGGGAAATCCTAGGGAACTTAAATGTCTTCCTTCTCTCGAGTTTGCATTAGTTGATGTCTCATTGTTGGGGTGGACGTGTCCCATCAGTTAGTAGAACATGCCAACAAGTGCAGCATTGACCATGGAAGCCAAAGTCATTGTCGAGGTGTACGGACAGTTATCGACCGAAGAAGAAAGTCTAGTGCATATCCATCAGAGATAAATCTACATAATGAACGGGTACCAGAACATAACTTTCTTATTGAGCAAAGCATGAAGCAATGTAGGTATTGCATTGGTAGAGGTCACGGTATGCTTGCCAGTGCTTGGCTTCCATGCAATTTGAGCATACGAGATGGTTAATGCCATTGTCAAAAGTGGCCAAACCAGCCAACGAAGTCGATGATAAGAATATTTTTCTGTATGGCTGATATGATAGTCAAGGAACCTATCAGAGGAACCTATCAGAGGACAACTACTGAGATAGTGAGTAGCATATCAAACAAATAATCTTCATAAAAATATGCCTAAAGATGATACATTTTAAAGACAAATTTGAGGTAACAATAACCTTTGTGATTGGTTGGATAAACAAGAAAAGTTCATTTGGTGGAATGTGGTGCTAGTTTGTGGCTAGATATGGACAAGATAACAAGTGAAAACATGTATATGCGAATAGTCTAGCAGTGAGCTACACAAAGATTAATGAGGGATTTCGTTGTGAATGATATGGAGTCTATTTAGGGTTGTGGCTATGTGTAAAGCTTTAACCCAAAAAGAAAGGAAAGGCTGACTTGAAAGAGTAAAATGCACATAATGTTATTAATGGTGTGGAGATGCATTTGGCATTGCCATTTTGTTGCAATGTGCAAGAGTCATAGAAACGAAGGCAGATATGTGTTAATAAGAAATCTCAAGCAATATTTTTGCATTCTTTATTATTGTCACGTTGTATGAAAGAGAGAGAGAAGTGAATGTAAGTCAATTTAAGAATGAGAATTTACGAAGTCTTGAAAGGTTTCAAATTTGATTTTGTTAATAAATGTCCAATGTAATGTGCATTTGTAATTTCAAATTTGATTTTGTTAAAAATGTCCCATGTAATGTGTGCTTGTGATTACCCAAGCAAACATGATCATATTTAAAGCACACATATTAGGGGGAATGTCCGTAGATTACATTGTATTATGTCAATCGATACCGAGTGGGAAAAAAAAGGAGAAAATGAGTAACATACTCTTCGAGTTGACATGCATGACAAATTTTGGTGTCAATCTTTTAAATAGAGAATATGATAATGCCAAGTTAAATAATTTGGGCAACCAAAGAGACGGAACCATATAGTAATCGTGTAAGGCTGGACGAGGATGGCACATGGTGAGAAATGTAGTCAAAGTGGGTACAAATCATCAAAGCTATTGCTGCGAAGAAGATTGTGTGTTTTGGGGATCCTTAATAAACTAACAGGGTCAAGTTTTATGGAATTCATTGTCGGTTGTCGATTTAAGGACGAAAACAAAATTTGCAAGTTTGGGACATTTTATAAGCTTGGAGAACATATGATGGGTAGTGTGCCATCACAGATGACAAGATGAGAAGAACAAGACAAATGAGACAGTGTTGCATACTTAGTTGACATTCATAAAAAGTATATATTGGATTATCAGTTCATCACATCATGTTTAGCAAAAAGAGGGTATTCCTGCCCATTATCAGACAATCACGAATTTGTGGCGTCAACCCGTAAGGTTTATCATTTTTTTAGTTTCTTATCTAGCCGAGTGTGAGTGATCACCTTTTGATTTTTATAAGCAGAAGAAGAATTAGTAGTGTATGGATAGGTTGGCCCAACTTAAATGAGATTCGATAGCTTCTTTCTTGTGTCTAACATTCATTTATTTTTACTACTTTAGCCTATTTTCTCATAGTCATTCCGATTGCCTTCCTATAGTTTAGTCATTCCGATTGCCTTCCTATAGTTCATTCTCTGGGGAACTCTATTCAACTTATTTTGGTGTATTCATTCTTGCATACATTAATGCACTTCCACTTGACACCTATTGTAATGATAAACGGCTCCCATCTCCGTGACCTTCTCTTGAATTCTCGAGACTTCTATTGCACTATCCCTGCAGGGGCATAGTGAAAAATTATGCTCCAATAGTGAATCACCTACTTAAAAAAAGGGCAGTGCAATTTGGTTTCCTATCTGTGTTCTCTCTTCTATCATGCAAGTGTAATATCCCAACGCGATATATTCAACCCCTGGAGTCCATAAATGCTGGCAAATAAAAGACATTTGCATATGCGGATGGTAGCCTAATTATGAACTCTTTATACCTAGCCCTCGGCACCCGCTTAGATAATTCTTGTACCTTTTTTCGAACTTCTCCTATAAGTATGGTGTGGTTACTTCAGCGCCTGGCGCTCAAACATTAGCTCGAGGCATTTTCTCAACCCTTTTTTATCCTGAAAAAGCAAGGAGCTATACCAATTGAGCTATATCCCCTTGAGCCAAGTGGAGCAAGATATACGAGACAATGTACTAGAATAAAAGGTGTTAAGGTAAGAATGGAACACCGAAGTCCATATACCAAGTGTTGTCATATTGTTGTACGAACATTCTATAGACTAGTGAGTAATCTTAAGAAGGTATGATAAACGATGACAAGGACGAAGACAGTCCAATTGGAGCAGGCTAGTACACTGACACTAGCTAGTATAAAATAAATACACTTTAAAGCCATTGATGAATCCATTCTTAAGTGTAGACTTCTTTAGGGGTAATTGACCCTAATGGGCTTATTGGAGTTTGGGCCCAATCGCGATTAACCTTAAACTTTAGTCTATAAATGCCATCTCTTGTACTTGTAAAGTGTGCCTCTTTATATTGTAGAAATAAGAATTTTTTTTGTTGCCCTTGCGAACGTAGGTCGATAATCTTTATCGGTCGAATCACATAATTCTTTGTGTTCTATTTTCTTGTTTGTGTTCTATGTCCATGTCATTGATCGTGGATAATGCAAAAGTGATATTATGGACGGTGAGTATTGGCAACCACATCAAACCTCCACATCTTAGCAACACCAATGGCTGCAAATACGTTATGTTTATGTCGCCCATGAGAGTAGAAGGAGAAGGAAAGACTAAATTGGTGTTACATTTATATCTTAAAATAGGAAAATAATTGGGAGAATACAAAGATTCCTCAGGTATAAATAGAGTACATGAATAGGCAATTAATTAGAACACAACTAATTTAGAAATACAAGTGAGTTAATCTAGACGGTATTTATGAATGAATGATTTATTGCTACAATGGAAGGGATAGAATTATTAACTTTCGGTCATTTATAAGTTGAGAAAGTGAAATCTTGTAACTCACTTGTCAAGTTTTGTACCTCGCTTGTCTACATTGATGATATCGTCATTACTATGAATGATTAGAATGAAATTTGGTAGCTAAAAGAATGTTTATTTCTACATTTCGAAAATAAGAATCTTGGGGCACTTGGATGTTTCATGATATCAAGATTACTAAGAATGCCTAAGATGAAATATGTTAAGCTAAAACAATAGGTGTGTTTGTCTTATTGCCCCTGGTTATGATATTGGATATTTCCTAAATTGTCTATATTGTTGGGCATTGTAAGTCAATTTTGTTAGAATTACCTTATATTGTATACTAATTATAAGTCATGATCAAGTTATAGGGTATATGAAGATTGACTCAACATAATTACCTTTTGTTAAAGCATTTTAGTTGACAACAGTCTTGTATTATAGAAGGATAAAAAGTAAGAAATGGTGCAAATATCTGTGTATTGAGCTATGACTTCAATGAATAGTGAACTTATTGGATCAAAATATTACTCTTGAACTAACATTTGTTAATTGAATAGATTTGTTAATTGAATAGTGAACTTATTGAGTCTCGTAAGGGACGGCCTGGTGGTGTAGGGGTTGGATTTGTGACCGTAAGGTCATGGGTTCAAACCCCCGCGCCTCAGGTCACCTGCCACACATGGTTCGCCTAGTGTGACTTTCCCGTAAGGCCTGGTTTGCAGGGAATTTATATGTATATATATATACTCATAATGCTATGAAATTTAGCAAAGAATTGTGGTGATGGTTTTCAAGGGAAAGTTTACATTGCTTTAGGTTATCACTAGTCTAAATGTTGAAGCCGATTAATCAACTGTGAAGTCTAATGGAAGTTTTTTTTTTTAACACACACCGCACACACTCACACCCCCAAGAGAATTTCACCCAACACATGCACACACGCATCCACCCAGGATCGAACCTGGGACCCAACCCTCAAGCGAGGGATGTCTCACCGCTTGATCTACAAAGGTTTGACGAAGTCTAATGGAAGTTTTGCCCAATGAGTCGAGCAGGAGACTAGGCTACTTTGTGAGAAGCCTCATTCCGACGACAAGAAGCTACCTTGAGAAGTCCTATTTCAAGGTCAAAGAGAAGGCCCACAAAATACTCAAGAAATCTATAAGAGCCCGCAAACTTAACAAATGAGTGTGTGATAAATGAGAGGTTGCAAATAATTGAGGGGATTCAATGATTTAATGATATGTAGGATTTAAAGAGAATTAATAAGGAAGAAAGAGGACACAACCAACAACATCCCAAGGTTCCTCTTATCATTTATTCTCCCTTCTTTTTATATTTTATTCTTTATTCTTATTTTGCACCTTACTTTATCAATTTTAGTCCATGCTCGAGTTTATTCAATTGTTTTAGCTCGAGACTTGTCGGGAGGCTTTCTTAAGCCAACCGGGAACCTATGTGATTAGCCTTTCGACGGCTTAAAACGCACTAGTCATCCAAAAGCCGATTTTCATCAGTAACATTTCCTCAATTATTTAATGCAACTATTAGAAAAGGGAGAGAAAAAAATAATGTGGTTTTCTTGTATATTTATTACATCTTGCCTGTAGTGCGAGATAGAATGCAAGAATTATTGAGCATAATATCTTTAAACATAGAAGGGATAAATTGTAAAATAAAATAATAGTATAGTGGCAATTTTTGTTTGATATATGTAAGGACCATGTTTACTAAATTTAAAGAAATTAGTATATTAGTATATTAATAGTATGGTGAAGGTACAAGGATATAATTACATGCAAAGAACAAATATTTCAGTTAAACGTAATATAATTTTTTTTATGTATGCAAACTAATTAACGGAATATAATAATAAGTAATAAACTAATCAATGAAATATAATAATTCCATTCCATCTAATCCACTAAAGAAAATATTTTCTAGCATCGTCTTTGCTTTTAGAAACGGGATATAATTTTCTGGAACCGTTTGAATAGATTACTTTATCCTATCATTAAAGGTTTAATGATTTATTTAAATAATAAAATTTTCACGTATCATGCACAATCAAGTAGATTTTTTTTATTTTCTTTTCCAAAGTGAAAATAGAAAGTATTATGTTAAAATTAATTGTGTTCAATAAGTTATAAAGTATCACTTCAAGCATTAGTTTATTAATTTGTCATCAATTAAACTACTTATATGTTATTTTAAAAAGATAAAAAATAACAAAGAAAAACAGAAGACGATTTAAAGAAAAATGAAAAATAATAATAATAAACGAAAGAAATGAATGTTCCGAAATGATTATACAATATTTCATGTATGTGAAATGGCTAGTATTTTCGTAATTTGAATAATAATAATGCATTGTGACTTTCTTCAACATATAAAATAAAAAAAAAATAATAAAATGTAGAAAAATCTATACTCCTCCCCACTCGTATGTTTTTTAAAGTATAAGAAGTTACAATAAAAAAATTGCCAATATAGACAACTCTAAAGCATGAGCACTGAAGGTGCTCATAGAGAATGCTTGCAAGCTCATAAAGTAGACCACCGTGAAGGGAGAATAATGTCAGGCTGGTGCTAAATAAGCACCTTCCCATGTAGTGTATATGCTGGCCCCCACACACAACTAATATTTTGAATTGAACATTTTAATATGTTTTTATTTAATGTAGTAATGTTAAATTATTTCATATACTACTTCCATCCCACTTGAATTGTCTCAGAACTAAAGAAAAATAACACTATACATTTGTTGGGTTAATAGGTGAGGATTATTTTTTGGCACAAAATTAATACTCCCTCCGTCATTCAAATCTATGCCCACTTTTCTTTTTGGGTTGTCATTGAAAAATATTCTTGTTTTCTTTTTAAATAAAAAATAATTATATTTATGTACTTTCTTTTACTATAAAAAGAAAAAATAATCATTATTATTCACTTTTATTAAAATTCGTGTCTGATCAAATGAGCATACATTTACATGACAGAGGGAGTAGTATTTAAATAATAATAGTTATAATATTCTTGTGTGTAAAGACCTTTTTGGATGTTACACGCATAACCAACAAAGTTGGAGCAGAAGTCCAAGCAACAACCTAAGAAACTATAGGGGTGTTTGTTTATGGGTTTTAGTTTTTAAGTTTGAATTTTCTAATAATTAAAAGTTGAATTGAATAGTTGTTTGATGTGATATAGAAGGAGGTTGATTGTGATGTTTTGAATGTAAAATAAATTTGTAGTATAATGTAAAAAAAAAAAATTGTTTGATGTGATACTTTTGAAAGAAAATCTGAATAGTAAAAATTATTGGTAAAACTCACAAAAGAACGCAGCCTATGGATTTTGTTTTCCTTGATAGTTTTTTCTGGTATAACCGCTGTATTCCGCTGCTTTCCAGAAGCTTCTCAACTTTTGTATATTCACTTAACATGATATCAGAGCTTAAGGCACCTTCAATGGTTGAAAAAGGCATTTGATGAAAATTCAGCTTCATCTTTCTACATAAATCCCAACGACAATAATTCCAAAGTTGACATTTAACCCGAGCTCACATATTCAAACTATCACACTTGAAGCAGATTATTTTCGCTTGTTGTATCCATTTGAAAGAAAAGGGGATTCCTTAATAACTCCATCCTAGAACCCAAAATCACTTATCTTGCTCGAAGTGTTTGGACCCAATGGAACAACCTCACTGGGGCATGGCTACCCAAAGCAATCTCACTAAATTTAGTGTCTTACCATTTTCTACAATAGAACAAGTGAAATATGGTCAGTGCTTCAGACTTATTTCTTAGTCTCGTATGATAATCAAATGTCTTATACGAAGGGAATTGTCCTCTTTCTCACTCAAGGTACAAGAACAACTGATGTCTACTACACAAACATGATGATGATTTGAGAACAACTTCATCACTACAGTCCTTCACACTGCAAATGTGGCTTATGCAATTAGAAGTGTTTCCGGACGTATCACCTTCAATAGAAGAAGGATATGTTGTTCAAATTTGAATGGACTTCATGAGCATTACGAGCTCATTAGGTCATAGTTGCTCAATCAAAGACCAACACCTACCCTCATCACTACAATGTTATCATTTGAGATGAGTCTCAATATAAACACACTACACAACCTTCATGGATTAACTCCATAGTCATGGGAGCATCAACTCGTCATGCAAGCACTTGAATTGTTTTCATTGTGAAAATAGAGCATATTAAAGATGTGTTATCATTTGGTCGGCTTCCCGAAGGATTTGAAGTTCACAAAATCTCCTAATGCTCATTCGGCCACCAATCATGTCGCGAACAACACAATTGTGGACTCAACATCAAAATAGTCTAGTATGACTTCATAACAACTAACCACTGTTGTAGGTACTCGATAAGAGATATGCCGCTCACTTTCCAAGCTCCAAGTAGGGACAACCACATGCAATGGCTGAGGAAGGGCTCTAGCACATTAACTCGTCTTTTTTGGTACCTCATTTCTGCAAACTTACTCTCTTTTCAATCCATCAATTTCTTTAATTGTCTTGACACATCCAATATGGATTGTGGATACTAGAGCCACAAGCCATATTTCAAAAGATATATCTTTATTTCTTCCATCGTTAAGCTATCATTGGTTGCTTTGTTACATGCCTAATGGAACATCCATTCTAGTCACCCACATAGGTACAATCATCCTCACTGACACCATTACTCTTGATTATGTCTTGTTTGTTCCCAACTTTAGCTACAATGCCTATTTTGTTCTTCTCTTATTTGGCGTAATCGTCTTGGTCATGCCCTAGGTTAAGTACTCTTCCACCTAAAAAAAAAAAATATCTCCAACACCACACCCGTGGCATGTGAAGCTTATCGCAAGGCTAAACATAGAAAAGAATTCCTGGTGCGTGCCAAGAACACCACTACCCATTCGAGCTTACTTATGTCGATATATAAAGGGCCTTATCGAGAAGAGAATTTATGAGGACATAAGTATTTTCTTACTATTGTATGATTTTTCCCGCTTTACATGGACTCATTTGATGCAATCGAAGGCTACACATCGCAAAATTCCATCGTTTTGTCATTACACAAGTTTAATCATTATTAGTCTTATTATCGGATGATGGTTGCCAAATTTAATCAAGGATCATGAGACTAAAATCATTCACCCGCATTCATGTGTGGCAACTCCACATCAAGATGTTATTGTTAAACGCAAGCATGGCCATTTGTAGCATGTGCTTTGCTTTTCCATGGCTCACTTCCTCCTAAACTTTGGAGCGAACATCTAATCAATGGCTTACTTGTCAAGTTATCCACTATGCCACCCTATACACTTTACTTCATCATGCTCCACCCATATAGGACCACCTTCGAGTTTGCGGTTGTTTAGTTTATGTGTGTACCATTTTACATCATCAAAAAAATAAATTCGACAATCATGACCGTGCTTGTGTTTTTGTATGGTATCCAATGGGTATAAAAAAGTACAAGTTCTATGACATTGAAGTTGGGTGTTTGGTTGTTTCCAAGGATGTCATTTTTTCATATAATATAATCCCTTTTCACAACCGAACAAAGTCCGCTAGTCACTATCTTCAATCATATTCTTCAAATGATTGTAGTTTTGACCCTCTTCTTCTTGTTCAAAGTTTACACATATCCATTTATTTATTCCTCTGCATCTTCGTCTCACTATCCATCTCCTTCTAATTCAGACCAAGCGCCACAAATTGATCCATTACAAGAGCAACATAATGTGTTGCATATTCCTTTCACAGATGATCCTTTACATAGCTCTCCACTTCCTTCTGTCACTCACAATACCATACCTTCCAAAACAAACATCTACCCTCTCATCTCTCCAATTATATCCTAGACCTCCCAAGTACCCTATCAGCCTCACACAAGGCCACTATTTCTTGCCATTTTCCTCTGCTTCTTGCCATTTTCCTCTGCCTGAGCCTGGTTCCTTTGCGAATACTATGGCACTGAATGGATTAAGGCAATGCATGCTAAGTTGGAAGCTTTACATAACAATAGTATTTGGGAGGTTATTCCATTGTTATATAATCGATCAACCATTGGTTGCAAATGAGTTTTTGAAACAAAGATACAGGCTGATGGTTCACTTGAATGATATAAGGTACGACTGGTGGCAAAAGGCTACAATAAACATGAAGGCTTTGACTATCATAAAATCTCCCGCCCGGGAGTGCACCATACTATTGTTCATCTTATATTTGTGTTGGTTGCCTCCCAAAATTGGCGGTTGGAATAGCTTGGCGTTCCCAATGCTTTTCTAAATAAAGTTGGATGAAGTATACATGGTGGTGTTTAAAGGATATAAAAGGCTAACTGGAAACACTATAAATTCCAAAAATGTTTTTCGGTTGACAAAGGCATTGTATTGTTTGAAACAAACTTCACGACAATGGAATGTCAAGTTTATCGAGGCATTGATACAAATTAGGTTCAACAGCTGCATTTTGTTTCATGTGCACCTTGAATGATGGAAAGTTTATTATTCTATTGGTTTATGTTGATGATCGTATTCTTGGTGGTAACTGCAAAAAGGGTATCGATGATACTATTTCTCTATTTCAAGCTTAGTTCAGTTAAGGAAACCTCACTTATTATTGGTGTTGAACTTACTTGGAGTGTTGATTAGGTAAACTTAATATCTATCCAATTTATTACATGATTATGTGTGTAAAATCCTATAGATACCTATGCTTATCACCAACTCATCAGAGAACTTTTTTAGCTCACTTTGACCACAGTTGATATTACATAGGTCAAATTCCACTCTACGGACTGCATAAACCATCGTGTGAACACATGCAGGTTGTCCCGTGTGTGTTGTGATATTGGAAATGCAACCCTAGCATAGGATTGCCTTTCCAACTGGATCAACCTTGGAGTTAACAAGCAATTCGGATAGTGATTGTGGAGCTTGCGGTGAGATCGCCATCGGTGATTGGATTGTGTATCTTTTGTGAGGATGCTTGATCAATTGAAGATCCAATAAACAATTTGTGGTAGCAAGGAGCTTTACTGAAGCAGAATATTGTGAGCCATATTTGTGTAAAATCATATGGATTCAAAATATGTTACCAGAATTGGGCATACAAGGTTCTTCCACACCATTAGTCGGAACCCTGCTCACTATGATCAAACTAAGCATTTTGATCTTGACTTGGATTTCGTTTGAGAGAAGGTACAAGCCAACCTTTCCCCCACACATTTTGCAAGGGGTTGTAAACTCAAAACCAACAGAGCTTGAGCAAAAGTGTGACACCCAGCCCGAAGCCACGCAAAGTTAAGACATGTCGGAACTATAGATTGGCCCCACATTTAAGGATGGAGTATATATATAGATTAAATGTTAAGATTTAGTGTGTGTATATATATAGATTAAATATTACTTCCTCCGTCCTACATAATTTGTCCATATTTTCTATTTTCGTCCGTCCCACATAATTTGTCCTTTCCTTTTTTGAAAAATTAATTATAAACTTTAATTATATTTTAAAATTTAAAATTTAAATTTTTTTAATCTTATTAAACTATTTAGTTATTTTAATCTTAATTTATAATTATTTTTACTAAATAATAATTATTTTTACTAATACATTTCTTAATTACTTACTAATTATATTTTACCTAAATTCCCGTGTCTACAGTAATACACCCATATTACATGGGACGGAGGGAGTAAGATTGAGTGTGTGTATTTATATAGATTAAATGTTAAGTATACCAACCAATAGGCTCCCTCTAGATAAGACTTTCAAAGTGTTTTCTTTTCGATCTATATTGGGTTTGGAAGTTTGGATTTTTTATTAAATATTGTTTGATCTATTATATTGTGAGAAAAAATATATATTTCTTCATAAATGTGGGATTCAAATATGAAAAGATTGAAGGAAAAAAATAAATAAAAAAATAAAAAAAATAAAAAAAAAAAAAAAGGAAAAGAAACACACCTTTGGATGTTATATTCTAAAATACTCCCTCCGTCCCATCGAAATTGAATTATTTGATTAGGGACACGGTATTTAAGGTAAGGATATTTAATTAATTAATAATAATTAGTTATGATATTATTTTTTATATAATTAATAATATTTATAGTTTGAAAGTAAATTTAATATATATGATTAAAAAAATCAAAATATATGTTTAAATATTTAAAAATTCTATAACAATTAAAAAATATATGTAATATGAATATTATTTTGTAGATAATAAAATTTTCTATAATACAAGTAAATAAAAAATATTTTTGTTTATTTATAATTAACATAAATCAATTTTATAAAAAATGTGTGGTTTCAAATATAGATAAAAATATTTTTTTTTGAAAAAAGAGATAGAAACAAAGGGATTTTGAGTGGGTCCTACGTCATTTATGATGTTATATGTTATATAATTAATTAAGTTGATTTATATTTTTTAAATATGTTTAGAATTAATAATTTTTACCAAAAATAGAAATGTGTCAATTGTTACGGGACACACAAAAATGAAAAGTGTCAATTGTGGTGGGACGGATGGAGTATTTAATGTCATGTTTTTAAAAATAAAAAATATATATATTGTTGATTAAATAATGTCAAATTTTTCAAGAATATGTATGTAAACATAGTCTAATTAAGAGACTCCAAATTTTAGGCGGTTAATAAAAGGGGTGTGTCAAGACATGTTAATGATCCCAAAATCAAATAGCTAAGTGTTAAATTTAAAAAGGGAAATCCTACTGATGAAGATTAACTCTCCTCACTTAAATCTCTCATTAATGAGCTAAACTTCCAAATTTCTAGCCAAATAGATATAAGGAGGTTATGACAGACCAATGAAAGTTAGTTCATGACTACAACTGATCTAAATCTTCGGATTTTGCACCTAAGAATATAACAAATGGTTATATTTCATGTAGGGACATTAGTTACTGTTCATTTATAATCATCTACGAATTGCACGAAATTTCGGTCAGTAATGAAGTCAAGAACAGCCCGGCTTCGAAGATAAAGGCAACATAAAATATAGCAACATAGAAAGCAAATATATAGTCTCAAAAGCAAAATACAAAAGCAGTCGTGAATGAAAAATTATACTAAATAAAATGCAAAAGCTCAAGGTGAAATAGTACCAAGAAGTAAGCAAGTAACAGGCCCAGTTAAGTTAAACCAACAGCAGTAATTCAAACATCATATAATAATACCATATATTTTAAAAAATAAAGAAAGAAAGAATATTTAATAACATAAACAAGAATCTCCCTCAAGAAATGAGGGCTTGGGTTGGGTTGGTTATCTAAGTTTAGCTTATTTCAACAGTTATCCATTAAACATTTAAAAGCCTGTCTGGTGAATCACACAACCAATAGGAGACTAGTACAAAAAAATATAATATTAAAAAAATATATAAAAAGTGTTAACTAATTAAATAATGATTATATATATATGTATATCAGTATGATGTAATCTTTTGCTATGGTATTAGCGCTACGGTGTGAAATATTTATGCGGTATGAGATATGCTCAGAAAGTAGCTCAAAACGGCACCGTCTTAAATCAACTATGTGCCTCTGCCAAAGTCATGTGTGGACAAAAGAAAGCAAACAAATATTTTTTTCCTTCTATGGGAAGGAACTAATATCTGCTGACCAACTGACACTAAAGACTGTGCTAATTCAAAGATCAGTCCAAAACGTTTCTTATAAATCAAGTATGGAACTCAATTGTTTAGCCATGTCCATCCATATTTGTTAATTTGAAGAACTAAAATGGATAACCACCAAATACGCATAGGACAACGAACATCGAATACGAAGGCGCTAATCTGCTGTTATAGAAGAGAAGAAAACGAGAGAAAGCAATTGGAAGATAGGAAGAGAGTTCTATTCACTAAATCAGCGCTTTGAAAACTTCTAATTTGGGTATACGAAAATTAGGGTTCTAAATTCCCCTAAAATGAGTCAACGAAGAAGGGGAAACGCGAGATGCGATCTCTGCCATGTTTTTTTTTTTTTTTTTTTACAAAACAAAATTAAGAAATAACCAATCGAAAAAAACAAAAAAAAAAAAAAAAATCAGCGACCAACCTGTTGGTGCTACAGTAGTGGTAGAGCTTCCCTCGACTCGAGAAGATAATCACGCCGACATCGACATCGCAGAGCACCGACAATTCCCTTGCCTTCTTCAACAATCCGTTCCGCCTCTTTGAAAAAGTGACCTGGCGCGCACTCTTATCCTCGATTCGCTTAATCTCGAGCTTCCTCCTCCCCATTTTTGCTCCAAATCCTCCTCGCCACCGCTATATGTATATATATAGAGCGTGAATCGGGCGGAGGCCGTCCCTATCGAAGGAGAATCGGAATCAGGGTTTGTGGTGGGTTTGAAGCTATTTGCTATTCTCTCTCTCTCTGTATTTCGCCCTTTCCTTTTTAAGTACACTTAGCGTAAGCACTGTAAATGTTATATATATAAAACACAAACAAACATTCCTGTGCCCCTTTCATGAATTTCTTCACATATATACTCTCTGTATATATTATATATATACATATATTTAATTATTAATTAAATAATTAGAAATGTTTCTTTTTTTTTAAATAAATAATATAAGTGGGGATGAGAAAGGAGGATAACTGCCGACTAGTAGCCCACCAACGGTAGAAGAACACGTGGCGCAACGAGAGTGCAGGACACGCATCCGCCTACGCTGTGTACTCGTGGATCAATTTCAACGGTTCAGATTACCTTTGCTTGGGCGGTTTAAAGCCTCTGACACCGCCGCCTCACCCTCGGCCGCCGTCGGAGAACCACAAAAGCTGCTGCTTCACTCGCCGGAATATATATACATATTTTTTTAACTGATTTATAAATGGTAAATGAAAAAGTAAACGTGGTGCAAAAATAAGTAATCATAATAATAATAATACTAATAATTTTGATTTTTTAAATGGTAAATGATAAAGTAAACAAGTAAAATTAATAGTGCTTCCGTTTCTATAAATTGTCTATAATTTTTTATTTTTATTCGTCTTCATGTTATGTTGTCATATTTTTTTTAAAATATAATTATATATTTTAAATTTAATTTTAAAGTTTATAATTTATAATTTTTTTAATTTTAATTTAATTATATTAATTTTAATTTATAATTATTTTATTATATAGTAATTAGTTTTACTAATAAATGTTTTAATTATTTATTAATTATAATTTCCTTAAATTTTAGTATTTACAGTCACGAGAATGGAGGGAGTATTTGATGAGTTGGACCAGCAAATAATTGGTGTATATTTTTTTAGTTTTTATTTATTTATTTTATTTAATCTCCATTTGTTTAAAAAAAAAATATTCCCTTCTTTTCTTAATAATTTATTATTTTTTTTTATTTTGGCCTATAACAAAGTATCTATTTTTTATTTTTTTTTTAGTAATTGTACAATTTATCTAACATTACAAATACCCTTTCAATTTACAATATATTACATAAATATCATTACGTTTATATCATACAATAATAATTGGGATAATTTATTTTTTTTACCTTTATTTCTGTTTTATCTTAATATAATACTAATATTTCTAAAATTTCATACAAAAAGCAAATAGATATATAAATATGGGACGGAGAGAGTACATATTTTTTAAATATATTTTTATGAGTATATAAAATATTAATTTTTTTTTACAAAAATGTATTTTTTGAGAATAATAGAAGAACACACTCTACTTCTACCTTTTAAATTCATATCTATTTAAATAAGTATATATTTTCTGTTTTTACTTTATATTACTTTTTTTATTTTTTACTGTGCATTCTCACGATTAAGAGAAAATTAAATTATATTTCATCAATTTACTTGAAATAAATTTTTTATCATTTCGTTTATTCTATTAAAAAATATTTACTCCATCCGTCCCGTTGGAAGGGTGGCGTTTGCTTTTTGCACGTAGATTTTTAATATTAGTATTATATTAGATTATAGTAAAAAAAAAAAAAATATCCCTATTAGTATGGTGTAATATAAAAGTAATGATATTTGTGTAATATATTGTAAGTTGAAAGGGTATTTATTATGTTAAATAGGTAGTACAATTACTAAATTAGGAAATGTTAATCGTATTTTGAGACGGATGAAAATAGAAAATGGTAACCTACGGAGAGAATATTTTTTATTATAATAAAAAATAATCATATAATATTAATACTAAAATACTCTTACGAATTTTTTTCTAAAAATAACATATTTTTTCAAAAAAAGTGATATATTATAGTAAAATACTCTTACGATCAAAATATCTCTATTTTGTGTAATTAATGTGAAAAAAGTAAGGATAGTTTTGTAAAAAAGTGAAAAGCTTGTTACAAAAAAAATAAAAATGAGACTAGTGTTATGGGACTGACGAAAATGGCAAAATGAAACTATTGTTTTGGGACGGAGGAAGTATTACTCTTTTCGTTCCAAAACAATATTTTCATTTGTTATTTTTGTCTGTTCCAAAACAATAGTCTCATTTCTATTTTTCATAACAAGCTCTTTATCTTTTTATAAAACTATCCTCACTATTCCACAATAATTACATAAAGCAGAGATATTTTGGTATTTTAAAAATATTTCTACACTCACTATTAATGTAATACTATTAAGTTGTGTTTGGTACAGACAAATGAGAACATAGAAATGTAAATTGTATCATTTCTCTTATTTGTTCGAATTAGAGAAATGGAACTTGAGAAATAAATCATTTTCATTTCTCTATTTTTATTTCTCTGTTTTTGGTACTATTTAATTTTTATAGTAATTTTTTTAAAATTATATTATTTCAATTTTATAAAAAACAAGTTTAATTTATTGTTAAACTATTTAATTTTTACGATCTTTTAAGAAATTGTATTAAAATATAATTTTAAAAAACATCTTATATAATTTATAATTTTTATAAACAAAATTACCAAAAATATTTTTCATGAATTCTCATCTGTTAAAACTCTTTTTTTATCATGTTAATCATTTATTTTTGTTTGATCATTCACATAGCTGTATTTTTTTATATTTCTTAACTGAATTCTCTATTTTACAGAGAATTAATTCACATTCTCTGCTCAATTCAATTTCTCTCCGATTCCATTTTTTACTCTAATTTCTCTGCAATTCCATTTTTCACTCTAATTTATCTGCAATTCCATTTTCTATACCAAACTTCTCCTTATTCCTAAATTATAATGTCCATTCCAAATGTTTCAATTGTTTTGGATATAGTATTATTTAAAAATACATAAACTTTGATTAATAATTTTTTTAGAAAAAAACAAAAAATCAAAAGCTATAAAAATCATCAACTATATTATTATTACTCACTCACTCTTCTCCATTCAAATGATATTTTTAAATATTTTCGTCCGTTCATTCAAAATATATTTTTCTTATTTAATAAAAGTAATTATACATTAATATTAAAATATTTTAAAAATTTTATTTGAATTATAAATATATCATTACATATACAATTATTTTATACATAAAATTTAAAGATAAAAATATCAAAATCTCTTACATAATTTTATTAACCAATAAAATATAATTATTTATTAATCTATTATAAATTTTCGAAAGCAATTATTGAAAAGGGACATTGGAATATTATTTAAATTTTATTAAAAAAAAAAGAAAGAAAGAAAAACCAAAACAAAAAACTCGAATAAATACAAACCACAAATAAACACGCTCTGCGATCATTATAAAGAAACTTTGGAGATGCTCTGTTCTGAATTGTGAACTCTGTTTTTTGGAACTGTACTGCTCTGTCGGGGTGTACACGTAAGCAGACAGCTCACCAAGGCTCTGTTTGCCTTGCTACTATCTTATGTGGGGATGATGTTTGTTTCGCTGTACTTTGGTATGTCTTCAAAATAATACTCCCTTCATTACAATACAATAGTCTTACTTATTATTTTTGTATGTCTCGAAACAATAGTCCTATTTTCATAAATAATCATATCACCATAAAATTATTTTTACCTTTTTTATTATTATTACACAATTGCCACTACTTTTTACACTAATATACTCACAAGGACAAAAAAGTCATTTATCCATACTTTTTATCAATATTTCATAAATCTCGCTTCCAATACAATAAGACTATAATTTTGAGACGGAGGGAATAATAGTAAAAATATTGAACTAATAATTTAATGTTATATAAATATATATATATATTTAATGTGATTTCAAAATAAAAATATTTTTAAATAAAGTTGTTGAGTACAAAAAATAATAATAATAATAACAATAATAATAAATAATAGCAGTAGGATTCTGAATGGGTCTAGATATAAGCCAAACGGCCCAGAAGTCGGGAAAAAAGAAGTCGGACAGACGCGGAGGTCTATCAAGAGGAAGGTCGGGCAAGGAAGAAGTATGGACAGACACGAAGGTCTGTCAAGAGGAAGGTCGGGCAAGGAAGAAGTATGAACAGACGCGGAGGTCTGTCAAGATGACAGTCTGTCCTTCTAAGTAGATAAAGGCAAATAGAGCCGGTCGGTTGCTCTGTGGTCGGGCCATAGTCGGTTGCTCTGTGGTCCGGACCACAGTTGGTTGGTTTGCAGTCGGGACCGAGGTCGGTTGTTCTGTGGTCGGGATCACAGTCGGTTGTTCTGTGGTCGGGACCACATTTGGTTGGTCTGCAGTCGGGACCGAGGTCGGGACCACAGTCAGTTGTTCTGTGGTCGGGACCATATTCGGTTGGCCTGCAGTCGGGACCGAGGTCGGTTGGTTCGTGGTTGGGACCACAGTCGATTGTTCTATGGTCGGGACCACAGTCGGTTGGTTCGTGGTCGGGACCACAGTCGATTGTTCTGTGGTCGGGACCACAGTCGGTTGTTTTGTGGTCGGGACCAATTTGGTTGGTCTGCGGTTGGTTGGTTCTCAGTCGGTTAAATAGGTCGGATGGTCCAAAGTCGATTGAGCAGGTCGGGCGGTCCGCAGTCGGTTGAGTTGGACGACACGGACGTCGGCTGATATGCAGGTTGGACGAAAGGCATTTCTGGAACGGTTCAAGTAGTGAGAGGCAATTCTGGGGCGGTTGGAGGAAATTGCAACCGGCGAACGGTTGAAAGTCGGTTAACACACGTGTTGACAGAGGAGGATTTTCTGGGCCGTTGAACAGCGGTTGCTGCAACCGACCAAACGACGGTTCAAACCGTTTTTTCAAGGGGTTATTTAAGGATTCCGGTCTGTTCTGAAAAAGCATCTTCAATCGACATCAAATTCAAAAGAATTGCTTTTGGGGATCACCACTTTATTTTCCAGTCTTTTATTTTATTTTGTTTATGTATTATATAGCATTCCTAATTTCAAACACTCATCTATCAAATTTAAAGATATTTTCCATATCTTTAAATTTTACTTTTTATTTGTTGAAAAAATATATCAACAAAAGTATATTAAGTATTAAATAAATGTAAGATGTAATATTTTAAATATATATATATATATA